CAGTCTTTGTGATAAGAAAACCTGGCAAAGACAAGTGGCGCCTGCTCCAAGACCTCCATAGGGTCAATGATGCAATTGAGGACATGGGTCCCCTTCAGCCTGGCCTCCCCTCTCCCTCATGCTTCCCCGGGATTGGCAGCTTGCAGTCCTGGACATCCCTTTGTACCCTGGAGATGCCCCCAGATTCGCGTTCTCCAATTCCCTCAGTCAACCGCAGAGAACCTTTTAAAAGCTACCAGTGGACCACTTTGCTGCAAGGGATGAAAACTTCCCCAGTGTTATGCCAGACTTTTGTAGCACAAGTTTTATTACCAGTGCGCAAACTATTCCCTGAAGCCATCATATTACACTACATGGACGATATCTTAATCTGTGCCTCCACCAAGTCATACCTAGACGCAGCGCTTGCCAAGACCACAGCAGCCATCGAAGGTACAGGATTCCAAATATCGCAGGAGAAAATCCAACTCTCAAGTCCATGGAAGTACCTCGGGTTTCTAAGCACCAGAAGGACCATTATACCCCAACACCTGACAATCAACAAAGATCCACGGACACTGCGAGACATGCAACAGCTGTGTGGCATCTTCACCTGGATTCAACCTCTCTTTGGCCTCACCATGAAGAACAGGCACCGCTTTTCGAGCTGCTACGAGGAGACAGTGACCTGGCTTCCCAATGGCCGCTGACACCTGAGGCTCGTGGGGCCCTGGAGAGGGTCGCGCATGCTGTCCAGTCTCGCCAGGTGCACAGAATGGACCGATCTCTTCCCCTGAACATCGGCATCTTTGGTTAAGTGCCCAAACTTCCATGCCTTGACATTTCAGTGGGATGACACCTCTAGAGACCCACTCCTTATTATTGAATGGATCTTCCTGCTGCACCAACCCTGTAAAACAGTAACAACTCCACCTGAACTCGTTGCTTGCGATCTGGCGTGCATTTATCTCCCGTTTAATTTGGAATAATTGGATGCTAACTAATTAGCAATTAGTGTTACAAACTAATGAAATTTACAAATTTCCCTAGATAGCTATCCCAGCCAGCTTTTGATCCACTACCCCAAACATAAGCTTTTCAAAGACGCACTTCATTTGGCCCCAAAATTATATAAAAGCAAAACCCCAATCAAAAATGTGGTCACAGTGTTCACTGACGGCTCAAGCAAGTCCCACAAGTCAGCGTTCACCTGGAAGGACCTGGACACGCAGAAGTGATGGTCTGATGTCCAGATTGTTGAAGGTTCCCCTCAAATTACAAAGCTTGCTGCAGTTGTGAGAGTGTTCAGAAAATTTCAGCAACCTTTTAATTTGGTAACAGATTTGGCATATGTTGCTGGGATAGCAGAGTGGGTGGAGCATGCCCTGCTCAAGGAAGTTCAAAATAAAAAACTGTATAGCTTGCTCTCTGAATTAATTTGGCTCATCTCCCACAGAGAGCAACCTTACCACATTCTGCATGTCCGAGCACATGTGGAGCTGCTTGGGCACATAATAGAGGGTAACCAGAGGGTGAACACCTTAGCAGTGACAGCAAGCGCCACCCACACCACACCAGCTATTCCTAACACATGGTCCTTTTTTACAATCTAATCAGTGCACACCTGACCCATTTGAGGACTTAATGGACACCCTGGCAACACCTCCCAAGACACCCCAGAACACTGTGAAAGTCACTGTCACCATCATCATCTTTCTCTGTGTCCAAGCAGCGGCTGGATGGATTATGCCACAACCCAAAAAAATGTATGGCTCACCCTCGCAAAATCCCTCAAACAAAACAACTTTTGCATGGCCATGGGGAAGAAAGGGTCGGGATGCCATGACATCCTGGCCCTATCTTCCCCATGGCCATCTCCCACAACTTTCTTGTACCACTGTCCAAGTTTGGGGAGGAGGTTTCACTGGTCCTTTGAGAGGCATGAGACCACTCTTTTTCTGCACTCCTGGTAGCTGTTTCAGTTGTTAAAAGTACCTGAAAGGGACCTTCCCATGCTGCTGTTAAGGTAGCATTGTTCCAAGATTTTTATTAGACCCCAATCTCCTGGTTTTACCTGGTGTATGTGAAAGTCTAGAGGTGATGTTTGGGGTAACAGCCCTTTTCATCTAAGATCCGTGAAAGAAAAGTGCAATTGCCTGCAAATAATTTCTGAGATATAAGTCATTAGTTTCAGCCATTGGTAAACTCTCCTCCCTTCCCAGATAAGGTAACCCAAACCACATTCCATAGGGAGAAACTCCCATGTCCTTTCTTGGAGCAGTTCTGACCCATAATAATGCTAATCTGGTTTCAATCGTTAATTTGGTAATATGGTTCTTAGGGATAGCATTCATTCTCTCCACACACCCAGAGCTTCGAGGGTGCCACAGGGGATGAATTTTTCAATTTATATCTAATGCAACACCTACAGAATGTCACATTTTTGAAGTAAAGCGTAAAGTCTCTGTATTTTGGGGAACTCAGTGTAATCTATTTGCATGTTTTGATAGGGTCTAAGGGCTAGGGCTCTTCCCTCACTAGGGTGTTTTCTCATCACTTTCTTATTTATCTTTTAACAAATTGAGCATTGTTCAGTCACTGTTTGGCTACTGTAGAGACTCCCTCACAGCAACAAGTTCTTAAGAATTGATCACACTGAGTGCTTGAGCTCACCAGTGTATTCCTTGTTGTAGCTTAATTAAAATGTCTCTAGCAATTGCTTTATTCCTTATCTGCCTCTCTTCCCTGCCCAGCTGTGACCAGAACTACAGCAAAGGGGAAGTGCCTACAGCTGAGGGAAGGCTGTGGTTTGGTCTCTGGTTCTGTCTGTTGTTGCTGCCAGTGTTGTTGTTTGTTTGCCTTCTTATACATGCTAGTAAAGAAGTGCTACTCCTTTTCCCATACCTTTTCCTGAAAGCCCCTTAATTTCAGTTATAATAATTTGGAAGGAAGAGGGTCACATTCTCCATTCCAAAGAAGTCCCACAGACACCTGTCTTTCCAACCAAGACAAGCTGACAATTAACGATTTATTGCCAATTGTTTAATTAACAATTAATGAACAATTAATTAACAACTAATTAATTAACTTAGGTAACTGAAAGATAATGAGAGGTCTTCACTGGAGCTTGGAAGGGTAGCTGCAGAGGTCTCTGGTGAAGGGTGGGAGACCATCAGCATCAGAAGACACGATGTTGCCGGCTCCTGCCGGATGCTCCAGCTGACACAAATGCTGTCACTCAGGTGCTGGTTTCCAGTGCACCTTCTTCTTGGGTCTCTGGCCTTCCTCGAGCTGCCATAAGGCAGAGAATTTCGATTTATCAAGACTGTTCTCCCGGGCTCTGCCTTTCAAAATCACTTGCACCCTCTTCTGAGTTGGCTTCAGGTTAGGAATCCTAGGAAGAAGGGGACTGGTGTTAGCCAGACGAACATTCCCAGCCAGCTGCTTTTCTGTCTCCTTGCAGAGCACACAGTGTTGCATCCTCTCTCTGTGCAAGCAGTGAGCAGCAGATTTAACAGCTGCACTCGCTGCATGGAGGCTGCAGAGGTGCAAGGACAGGAACGTGACCAGTGACGTGCCTGGGGACCAGCTACAGCACACAGGGTTCCATGTAGAGAAGCAGGCCTTGCTTGTCCCAAAAGGAAGCAGAACTAGGGACTGGCTGGTCCCCAGATCTCTCGTTCCAGATTTTGCAACCCTCCAGGAGACTGATGTTTCATACAGTGTCTCCCTACCAAGGCCAGATGATCTTTCCATGCTCATGTGGGTGTTTCTGCTGCCCTTCTGGGGCTGCCCGTCTCCAGGCCCACCTCCCCATCTCAGTCAGAGGGACTGAAGGGAGGGTGTTAGCGGATGAACCAGGCTGTGCTTGGTGATGCCCAGCAATAGGACGAGAGGCAATGGGCAGAACATGAACAGGAAATTCCACCTGAAGCTGATGGAAGAACTTCTTGCCTGTGTAGGTGCCAGGTTGTCCAAGAGGGTGTGGAGTGTCCCTCATTGGAATTATTCAGAGCCCTCTGGAAAAAACCCTGTGCTCTGGGATGACCCCACCTGAGCAGGGAAGTGGGACCAGATGACCTACTGTGGTCCCTTCCACCCTGTCCCACCCTGTGATTCAGTGATACCCATCAGTAGCATGAGTTGGCAGATGTTTCTCACCTGCACATCATGGTGACCCCAAACTTCCCCACACACTTTGGGGAGAACTTTGTGTGAAAGGTCTGCTTCTGGCCAGGAGCAAGGATGCCACGGTCAGGGTTGATGGAGAACAGTGGCAGGTCATGGATGAAATCTGGGAAGACTTCCAGGGAGGAACTGACAGGCTGCAGAGAGAAATCCTTTGCCTTTGAGCAGCATATCTTCTTGAAAAGGTCTGGATTGGGCTGCGGCCGCTGCTCAGAGAGATGCCATTCCTTGGAACGGCTCCACTTCTTGGAACCCTTCCTCTGCTTGGACTCCAGCTGCTCCTCCTCAGAAAGCTGCTCCTGCTCAGAGGGCTGCTGCTGCTTGGAATTCTAATTCAGGGTCTCTGCCTGCAGCACACGCTCCTGTGCCAAAGCAGGAGAGTTGCTTTTAGACAGTGACTTTGCATTTGCCCTGGAGTGAGGAACCGCAAACAGACAGTGGCTGCAGGGCAGGTCACTTGTTACACGACTTTTTTTCCCAGTCTCAGATGTCTCAAAGAGATGACCTGATGTCCCCTTCCCAGTCCTGACCCAGCACGTGGTTTTCCCCAGAGCCTGGCTCAGTCCTTTGCAGAGCAAAAGTGGCAGAGCAGGAACAGAAAAGGCTGAAAGGCAGAGAGGGACAAGGAGAAAACTCTCCAGCTGCAGCTGGAAAGATGCTGATGAAAGTGGACGTATGGACAAGGATGAAAAAGCAATTCATGTTTTGGGGCCAAATACCCTTACACATCAGAGTGAATGAGAATGGCTTGGTCACTGGTTCTCTGTGGGTATTCTCAGTTCAGTCAGAGAGAAAGAGAAAGTTTCTAACAGGCAAGAAAGACTAAGAAACAGTTGGGAAAGAATGTAAATAATTATTTATCTCTCTTGTTGTTCACATTGTTTTAAGATGTTCTGCCACTGTGCATCGTTCACTGCACACCAACGCTGTAAGATGTTTTTACTTTCGGACAAATGAAATTAGTCTGCACGATACACTCTATAAAAGAGTGATGTATTTGAAAAAAAGTAGTAGTTAGAGTTCAATTCATCTTTGCCTTCTGATCCTGGAGTCTTTTCGTTCCCATCCTGCCTCACAACAACGGTTCTCTATCTGCACCATCCTCCCAGGAGTATTCCAGCGCTGACTTCCCTTTATTGTGAATCTTGAAACTGAAAGGCAAGAAGGAGGAATAAAAAAAATGTCCAATAAATATAAAGCAAATAGTAAAGTAACATTGTCTGAGGGACTCCTGGTACCAGTTTCTGCTGAGGAGCATCTTCTTCCCCAGGCAACCCTGCCATGCTCAGACTGCTGTCCTGGGTGGCCCAAAACAGTATTTCCAAGTCTGGATGGTCAAGAGGAAAGGGCCAACATGGTGCCCAGGACATCGAAGCTAAGGGGCTTACTCTGGACTTCAGGTCTTGGTTTGACTGCAAACTTATTCTTGAGCAGATGAGGACAGGTGACATGCAGTGAAAGCAAACCCATGGCTGTTCTCAGCAGAAAGGTATGGCAGCATTGAACCTCTCCTGACCACCACCACCTGCTTGGCTTTGTGTGCACATAGATGGGCCTGTGCTGCTTTGGGCTGGGGCAGAGTTCTGGGAATAGGGCACTGGGCCAGCCCTGGGCAAAGGCAGCTCCTGCTCGCAGGGCCCTGCCTGGCCTCCAGCACTCACGTGGTTGTCCTTGTCTGGAAGGGAAAGGTATCCTTGAACTGAACCTCGATCGTGTTCAGCTTCAACTGGGAGTAGGCAACAACGGCACTGAGGTACACCTCCAACTCCTGGCTGCTCTCCTCCACCACAGTGTGAGCCGGCTCCGGGGCTATCTTGAGCTCCTGCAAACAGAGAAGGGAGGAACCACTGAGCAGAGCCCAGAAAGTCAGGCTGAGAAGGGAATCTTCTGGCCTCCAAGATCAGCCTCACAGAGGGACTAGAAAGGACCACTCACTTTATCTTCCCTGGAAAGATGATAAAATGACAAGATGACTGCTGTGCTACACTAGTTGTTTCTACCCACAGATCAATGTAGTCACTAATATCCCAGCTGTTAATATCCCCATGGAGACTTCAGCTGGTTTCCAGTCCCTGGACTTCAACCTTGTAGAGGGACTGACTCTTTTCCTGGTCCCCTATAAATCCAGCAGGTCTCAAAATTTGGCTTAAGTTCCCCTGGTGGAGCTCTACAGATGGAGAACCCCAAGACTGAAGAGTTCTAGAAAGCACCTTTTTCTTCTTGTCTTAGAAGAAAGTGCTCTCCAGGTGTCTTGTGTGGAGCAACAGCCACACTGCTGGGAGCTGGGGATGGGCATTTTGGGGTGGGAAAGATCTCACTTGGAAAGTCTCCAACTGCAGATGTTCTGATAGAAAAGAGGATGGTTTAGAAGCCATAAAATGGTCCAGAAACTCAGAAAGAACCTTCACCCAAGATGAGTGTGTGTGGCAATAATGACAATAACAGGAAGAGTCTCTGGAGATGATCCTTCTCTGGACTCCTCCATACTGTCATACAGTGCCTGAGCTACTCCATGATGCAGAGACCACAACCAAAATCTCTGGTATCCATGCACACAAAACTTGGGAGTTCAATAGCATATGCAGGAGAATTGGATTTCTCTCCACTTCAAAAGAAGAGACAGAGTGCAGCAGATTTAACTCCTTGTTGGTGAAAAGGCACCAAATGAGATGAAGAAATTTCTGACACCATAAAATGGGATAAAATCATAAAACATTTCTCCCATTCAACATGGGCTGCAACACTTGTGCTTGTGGCACAGACTGATGGCTTGTGTGTGGCTAAAGGTCTCTTGTCAAAAGGCTTCCCCCTCTCGTGTGAGTGTATCTGGTCACTGTGCATCCACCTTTCTCCTGGAATGCACTGCTGGTGAACCTCACAGCTGTCCCATGTCCAGAGGAAGCAGGAGCTGCTCAGCCAGCAGTGATGGTGTTATGGTGGTTCTTTTTGTAAAAGCTGGGTTGGCTTTTTTTGCCATTTTGCTTCTTACCTTCTCTATTTTAGGGAATTTGTCTTCTGGGTCTTTCCTGGTGGCCATCTTCAATGTGTACCTTGAGCACTTTTCGTCATCCCAGTCAGGAACCTTCCTTCGTGGCAGATCAAAGTTGATCTTGGTCACCTTACATTTCACAAGGTGCCTCCTGAAGGTGGCTGGGTCATCTGATTTCAAAGTCACTGTGATGCCCTTGGCACAGCCAGGATGGAGGTGTCCCACCTAGGGAGAATCAGGGAGTCAAGACCAAACTGGAAGCACTGCCAAGGGTAGGACTAACAGCAAAAGGGACTGATGTGGTGAGCAGCTGTGCCAGGAAGCTGCACCTCAGAGTGGGTTTATGTGAAGCTTGATATCCAAAAGTATGAACAGAAGGTGCCACCTCCCATAACATGAAGCCTTTTCTGCAAGGCTGGCAGCCTTGGCCCAGCCAAGCCAGGGACTGCCTCTCCTACGTGGCACTGGAACTGGCTATCACTGGTATGTGAGCACTCCCTGCCAGCTCCTGGGAACACCAGGGCAGGGCTTGAGCAATGGGGAAAGGCAGAGCAATCCACGCTCACCTTGGGGGAGAACTGGAATGGGGCGTCTGCCTCCCACTCAAAGCGCATGAACTGGTTACGGGTGTGGTTGGTGATGGTGAAGGTCCTGCAGCAGCACCCCCCGACAGAACAGTCCCCAAACTGGAGGTGATTCACTCTGACAGCTGTTAAGGAGGAGAGCAAGGGATCTCAGCATGCAGAGAGCTCCACCTGCTCCCCTCACGTGCACAGACACCTGCATGTTCAATGCTTCCTTGCTCCAAGCCTTCCTCCCTCTGGGAGGGCGTTCCCCAGGCAATTCCCCATCCCACCACTTCCAGGGAAACACCCTGACACATCCCTAAGCCAGCGATGTGCAGCACAGCACACACTGCTCTCATGCATGGCTGCCATGCCCACAGGCCACCAAGTCCCATGGGTGACAGCCCAGGCCTGGCTAGAGGGAGGACACACATGATCAGACATTTTCCTCTTCCTTGCTCCACCTTGGCAGCCTCTCCTCTCTTACCATCAATGATGTCTTTCTTCAGAATGCTCTCAGTATACCCCTCCTCTGTGTCTTCCTCTAGGCCATCGAGGGTGAATTCATCCCTGTGGCCTTCACCCACCAGCTCTACTAGGGTTTTGCTAGAGATGTCCTTCACGAACAGACAAATCTTCCCTTCCAGACGTTGAGCCAGGGTGGGTTTGAAAATGACATCCAACTCTGTCGATTGCCCGTGATGCAGAAGGAAGAAAGGCTTCTTTGGGGCGTTGCTCTCTGCACAGCAATGGAAATCAGAGTTAAGTGATAGAGCCATACAGAGGAAATATTTCCACAGGATATATGAGGAATAAGAAGTTGAAACCAGGTGCCTTCTAGGCACAGGTTCTACCCCCACTGGTTCCAGACCCTCTTCCTCTGTTCACAAGACTGCCACCTCCAGACACATCACCACTTAAGCAGCTTAACCTCAGGCTGATGCCCAGCCCTCATTCCATCTGCTTCCAGCCAGCTCCAGCCATATGCAAAGCTGAGCCAAAGAGTGTTTTTTGCTTCTTCTGCTGGCTGTGTGTTCAGGCTGGTACCTTCCCACATGCAGCAAAAACTTCAGAGGGTCCACTGAGGTAGTGACAGTCCCCCACAACTCAACCCACCATGTCTAGAAGAACAGAAGAACTTCCTACAACTTGCTAGGAAGAAATGCTGCAAGAAAAGCCCCAAGAAAAGCTTGGGGGACAGAGAGCCCAAGGAACGACACTGTGCCTAACATCTGGCTGCTGCTCAGAGAAGCCAAGAGCAGGGCACACATTTTCCCTCTGTGCATGATCACACTTCATGGTTAATGAATTTACCCTTTCCAACTGAGTCCTCTTCCACATCTTCAGTGCGGAATACCTCGAGTGTGGAGGCCCTGCCTTTCAAGAAGAACGCTCCATGCTCATCCTTTAGGCGCAACATAAACTGAGAAAAGAGAAGCCAGAGCACAATGATACTGGTGTGAATACAGGATGGCACAGGGACTGACACTGCAGTGCTGCTGGTCCCACATGGGAACCCAGCACCTCTCCCACTACCAACAGCACTTAGTTGACTTAGTTAAGTCAAACCAGCCTAGAACAAAGGGTGTTCAGAGGCATCTGGATAGAACTGACACAAAACCAAACAGGACAGAAAGTAATGAGCAGAATACATTCTGCTCATGAAACCACATCTAAGTCTACTTAAAATGTAGTAAACTGGGATCAAATACAATCTAATGGAACTGGGAAATCACACGTATCCATGAGAACAAAAGGTGACCTGAGAGACAGGGGGGAAAATACTCCACCACCTTTCTTGTGTTCAGCTTAAAGAAGAAAGACTGGACGGAAAATTTCCAAGAACTCCCTTCTTGGAGAACAGACGTCAGTCACTTGCTTAAAAAGAATTTCTAACACCTCTTCCCAGGTCTGCCATGTTCTTTGGGACCCTTCCTGTGTGCCACAAGCACTTGTTCCCAAACCAGACCATTCCTCGAGCAGATCCTCCTCACCTTGAGAGATATGATGCCATCGTTACGGATGACCAGGGGCAGCGTCTCTGAATCCCCCACCTGGAGCCTCTTGAAGCGCAGCAAGGCATTTCCCCTCTTGGTGCGAGCACTTGGGCACACGACTGTCAGCTGTGGCTTGTGCCCCTTCCCACTGATGGTGAAGGTCAGGATCTGGGGTTTAATTTTCACAGGGCTGCAGGAGAGGCACAGAAACAATTTCAGCTGGCACTAACCAATTTCTCACTGGGCAAGGGAAGCAGCAAGGGCCAGAGTGTTCTCCCTGCCTGGTTGCTCCTGTACCCCACAACACAGCCCCCCAACAGCCTCTTCCCAATCCACTCAGGGCCATTCACAAGAGGAATCTGCTCCAAAGAGCCAGAGCCTTCCACAATAACAGTTAAAAATAATTTCACTTTATTGAATCATGCAGTACAACAAGTAAATGAGGCACCAGATGAGATACGGCAAATCCCCGGGCTGCAGTGAGAGAAGACTTATGCAACAAGCAAAGGCACAGCATGAAAGCAAGAAGGCAACAAAATCATCGTCACCATCAGTAAAGATCATTTCCAAGAACAGCAAAAATGAAATTGATTATTAGCAATTAGATTTCTCTTGTTCCAATTCAGCCACTAAAGAGTTGAGGAAGGGCAAGTCAAAGCCCCAGTACACAGGTCCCAGGGCAGAGGAACCTAGGCTCCTCTTTCATACCAGCTCCAATCACTCCAAAACAGCTTAATGAATGCCAGGTAATCACAAAGGATCATCTAATTTTACAGAAATAAAGAGGAAATTGTGACTGCTGACTTGCTGCTACAGAAACTGCTTCATCTAAGCCTCTGTCCTTGGAAACCCCCAGCTCAGCTGCAGCACATCTCAGTAACTTCCGGCTGGGTACCTAATATTTGCCTGTCTTCGTAGTTCCTCATAAAGGCTAAACCATCAGCCTAATTTTTCTTTTCTAAGAGTTACTGCCTCCCAGATCATCTCATGCCAAGAACTCTGCCTAAGGCTACTGAAAGCATTAGTGCTAACAAGAGGTCTGTTCCTTCCCAGGGGAGAGGCAGCTATCAGTGAGGCCTCCCCCAATATTTCACAGGGTCAGTTACCCTTTTGGGATGTCAAAGAAAGCCTTGAAAGTGCAGTCATAGTTCTGTTCATCTGGTGGGGTGAAGGTCACCGTGGCAACGGCATGGGATGAGCCAGGAACAGACATCTTGACTGGATCCAACTTGAAAATGTTTCTGATAGGGATTTGTTCCTTGGGGGAACCAGAGAGCAGTGTTAGGAGAAAACACCTTTCAACATCACACGGATTTATACATAAATGCATTGCTGAACCCTGGGCAGTGTGTCTTCCTTCCTGCTTCCCTGGGCAGGCTCCCTCCCTCCCAGGGAATGCTGACCTTGTGCTAAAGCATTGTGTGTTTTGAGTGTTGGCAGCTGCCCCAGCCTATATGGGAGGTGGGCACTGCGTGGAAGACCCTGCAAATAACCTAGAACTGGCCTTCAAAGAGAAGGAAAAGCCGGGAGCCTGAGGAAATGCTCTGCTTTAGCCCTGGCATGTCAGGTCATAACAGCCCCTCTCTGCATGTGCTTCCAAGAGAGGTTCAGAAGGAGTCACTTCTCCCACTGAAGACCCAGAGGTGTGAGCCAAAACCTTGCCCAAGACATGCAGAATTCCACACAACTGTTCCCTGGCTCTGCTGCTCTCCCCTGCAGTTTGAGCTGCACTGATCTAGCCTAGTCTGGGCCACAGGCAGCAATGCATCTGGAGAACAAAACAGGCTCTCACATGGCCTTTAGAGGACAACCACCACCTTGGCCTCCTGTTCTCACCTTTCCAGGCAGGGGCTTGATGGAGAGGACCACGTCACATGGCAGACGGCTTGCACTATAGATCTTGAAATGAGCTTCAGCCTCTTGCCCAACCAGAACCTTGTGGAAGATGAATTGGTTCTCATCTCTGATGAACAGGCCCGTGCCTGTCACCGACTGCAGCATGTGGCTGAGGTTGGTGCTGCTGCAGATTGGGTACTCCTTGAAGATTAACATGACATCCTCAGAAAATCCTGTGGACACACCAGAGGAATGAGCACGGAGGAGCCTCCCTGATGAGTTTATCTGGACCCTGCTGGCCTCTCAGAAGACTTGCTAAGCCCTTTCTGCCCGGGTGACTGCTAAAGCCAGCATTGGGTGGGGGAGCTGGCTGTGAGCATGGAGCTCAGTCAACCTCATTCTTAGCATTGCTTTCCTTTTATCCTTCCATGCATCCCTCTCAGCCTGGGAGGGATGAGTCCGCTGGTGGACTTGAAGAGGGCTGGAACCTCTGAGGATTTTAAGGTGGGACACCAGGGCTAGCGTGTCTCTCTATCCAAGCAGCAAGTTTAGGTGCTGATCAGCAGCAGGTGTGACTGTGGGCAGAAGGTACCTGGGAGGCAGGACTCGGCCATCAGGGTAAAGGGAATGCCGAGGGGATTGTCCTCGGGGTCTCTGCCTGGGATGTCAATGTAGAGCTGCTCCTCACATGTCCCCTCCTGCCCAGCGAGGCATTCCACTGTGATCTTCTGCTGACCCCACGGACGGATGGAGCCAGAGCAGGGGGACACCGTGAACATGCCAAGATTGAGGTGACCCTGCAGAAAAAGTTCCAGGAAAGGCTGATGGCTATTAGCTATACCTTCAGCACCCCAGCAAGGAATATGTCCTGCCTTGGCCTCCAGCTGGGCCCAAGCACCCAGTCCCAGAGCAGGGAAGGATGACTCCATGGCCCAAAGGCAGCCCCAGGTTGAGAGCAGCAAGCCAGGAGGAGCTGCAAATCTGTCCCAAGTGGCAGAGAGAAAGCAGTTTGAGTGTAAAGAATGAAGGTGGTGGCTGTGATCCTTCAATCTCCATAGGTAACACAGGAGAGCAGAAATCGCTGTGAGAAATGATGGGAGAGAGGTAGGGACTGGGAAGAAGAAAAAGCAATGTTGTCTGAGCTCTGTGGAATGAGAGTTCAGTGGGGGATATTTTTGCTTCTCTGATGTTCACATACCTGGTCCTGTGTTTGGTAGCTGGCTCACAGCTACCAAACATAGGACCTACTCCCCTCTGTTGACCCCAGGTCAGAGCCAGTGTACAGGACTGCCAGGGGGACTGAGCAGATACTGGACTCCATCCGGCAGACCACGTCCCACCCTGTGCCCAGCCTGGGCACAGCAGCATCTTCTCACATCGCCTGCAGCAGCACTGCTGGGGAGCAGGAGTCACCCACCTGTGACAAGGAGCTTGATTTCCTTGATGAGGTCTTTGTAGCTGATGCAGCAGATTCCCCTTGCTTTAAACTGAGAAGAGAAAGCAGAGGTATCTGTCATGCTGAGCTCCCCTGCCTTTCTCTGAGGCCAAAGCTGGCTTCCTCCTCACAGAGGAAAGCCTTTGTGCTCTGATGGCTCCCAGAGAGCAGCCTGCAGCACCCATTGCTGGACTGAGCAGCTCTATCACAGCTTTGTACTACACATGTGGATACCGAGGCCTTTTTCTGCCCCCTGTCCCCAAGCCAGGGATGCGGATGGACGATAGCCCAGGTCTCCTGGCTGCCTGCCCCATACCAGGCGTGGCTGGTGCCTCCTCACACAGGAAGGGCGGTGCAGGGCTTCTCGTACCTTTTGCTTTCTGACGCAGATGCAAGCTCGGGTGCTCGGCGGACGCGGAATTTGAGGTTGAGCGCGCCTTTGTTCTCCAGCACGACAGCCTGGCTCTTCTTGGTGCCCTTGATCACGGCACCGAAGTCGATGGGTGAGGCAGGCTCAATGCTGTACTTGCTGTACTCGGCTTTCGCTGACACCTTCACTGGGATGCTGGTGACAACCTGGCCTCCTTCACCTGAGCGGGCATCTATCACCTGTGTCCACAGGAAGGGAGGTAACCAAAGCAAAGGGGCCAGCCTCCACCCCAGGCCTCCCTGTTTAAGCACCTCCTCCAGAGTCAGATGCTCAGCTCCACTTAGGAAGCCTCCCAAATGGTTTTGAAAGACTTTGTGTATGTAGGAGAGAGAATTCTCCAGTAAAACCCTCCTTTCATTAGACACCTACTCTGTTTACGCTCCCAGAACACCGTGTGATAACACAGCCTGGCCCAGCCAGCTCACCTGGCAGGAGATGATGGGCTCATTCTTGAGGAGAATTTCACTTGTGGGGTGGAAGAGTATCTCAATATTCACACCACGCTGGGAGGCAGCCAGCATGCCTGACTGAGGCTGAACAGTGAAGTGGGATGCCACGTTTTGCATTCTGCGACCTGCACCCTTCAGCGTGAAACTGGGGAGAAAGGGAAGGAATGGAGATCTCTGCAGTTAAAAGTACAGGTGCCACCAGCACAGCCAGGACTTTGCACAGGACCAGACAAAAAAGGGAGAATCCAGCTCTGCTCAGGGAATCCTGGATCTTGACAGAGTTCAGACAATCACGAGGTTACTGCAAGAAACCTTGACACTGTAATTTTTCATTCACTTCTTACAGAGTCTCAGAAAAATAAAGCAGGTGACCATCAAAGCAAGTCAATGATCTCAGCATTTCAGTTACTGAAATTTCTGGGGCTCTCATTTGAGCTCCAGCTGAGCTGTGAAGAACTGCTGGTTTGGGGCTGGATTCTCTGGTAGAATAGCTGAGATCAGAGAGCCCAGGTTTTGTATTTACCATGAGGTAGCCAGCATGGAAACAGATTCTAGCCATTGACAGAGGAAGAAAGCAGGCCTGGGAACCCAAGGAAATGCTCACTACCAGGCAGCTGGACTCACCTGTACTCAGTGTTGTATACCCCTTTGTTCTTCAGACTCAGGACTTTCTTCACATTATCCAGGACACTAATGGTTCCAAATTCCAAGCTTCCATCTGGACCTGCAGAAAGCCCACAGAGCGAGATCAAACACAGTATTTGTGAGCTGCTGCAGAATACAACAGGCCACAAGCTACATGGAGGTCTCGGAGCAAAACCCTTTTCAGCAAGTTTCCATTCCTGAAGGTGTTTTCCAGCTACTTGTCTGCCCTTTTTCTTTTCATCAAAATATCTGCGGGCTTAGTAGCTAAAGATCTTGCCTTCCATTTCCTCACTTCCAAGCACAATTCCAATTACTTTATATGCTGTGCTGAGCCTGTGGGGGCTGCCAACTGCCTGGTCACATCACTGTTGTTTCAAAGCCCCCAGATCCAATCTGCACATGAAGCTGCACACTTCAAAGTTCAGAGGGGAGAGACTTAAGGCTGTCAGTTCCCTGACATTACTTTAGTTCATGCAGGTTGCAGGTACCTGCTTTATGTATCCATGCCATCCTTGTATTCCATCCCATCCCATGCCAAGTGCTTTGGGATGCATTACCACCTCCCAGGGTAATGCAGTGCACCTGGACTGCTTTGTTTGGGAGGCATCCACTGACCTTCAGGCATGTTGAGGCTCACAGAAACCTCATAGACCTCTGCAGAGATTTTGATGTTTTCAGTCTGAACAATCCCCAGGATGTTTTCTGTATCTGAAACCTGAGGCAGCAAGAAACAAACACTGTTCATATTGTTCTTTTGGTACACAGCCTGAAAGTCCTTGTCTCTGCTGGCTGCTTCCCCTATGGCCTCCCTGGCTTCACAAGCGTTGGTGGACTCCCAAGCTTTGCTAACCTGTTCCTCTCACGGGCTGCCCCAGTGGGATTCTACTGCAGTAAAAAACCCTATCAGCAGACTCTGCACTCCCACAGTGGGGCATGCTGCTGCTAAAGCATCCTTGAGAGGCACAGGGGTGTAAGAACAACCACAAGAAGTGTGAGGTGTCTCAGAGCAGGTGGCATTGACAACCCTCTCAATCACCTAGCACCCTCTCTGATACGGAGCCCCTAATCCATGGGGAAGAAAATCCCAGGGGGAGAGTTTGTTGCACTATGCAAGAGCTTCAGACAATGTCCGGGAGGAATGTAGAGATCACGCTGCAGTCTGTACAACCACACAACCTTCAACCACTCACAGGGACAAGGTGGTTGTGGTACAGGCTCAGGATGCAGTGTCTGGTTATCTGGGGGGATGTGGATGCACTGCACGTTCTGGCAAACGCTGTGTAGAGGCAGAAGTTGGGGTCACAGCACCCTTGTGTCTGTCAGGTGCAGCTCTTCCTGACCCTGTCCCTAGCAGCACACAGCTGCTCACTGTGCCCTGCTCTGCCAGGCAGGGCACAGCCCCTCTCACCTCTAGTCGGAGGGTCTTCTCAATGCTGCCAATCTGTCCGGCATTGAAATGCACTGTCACTTCCAACTCTGAGCGAGGATCAATGGTGCCTTTATCTTGTGACAAGGAGAAGTCCTCAGCAAGGTCATCCAGCCCACTGAGCTGCCAGGCCATGGGCAGCAGGGTGTTGTTTTTCAGGACCAAGGTCCTGCTGTCAGTCCTGCAGAGACAGGAAGGCACTTGGCATCAGCTGCTGGATGGCCACACCAGCCTGGCCACTGAATGCAACTTGGAGCAGCTCCAGCCATGCCCTGGAAACCAGAGTCAAACGTTTTCTCTTTGTCACAAGACTTGGAGTGCTTGTGGGATGACTGACCTGTGCAGAAGCATCTTGTCAAAAGACAGCTCCAGGGGGCTGACCTCCAGCTTCACGTGCACCCCATGGCAGCACAGGCTGAAGACCACTGGCTCCGGGTTCTTCCCAACGCTGCAGATGAGTTTGTCTTGCAGGAAGCCAGGGGAAGTGGGGTAGGCCCAAATGGTCAGCTCCTGGACACGGCCCCACAGGAAGAAATTGAAAGAGCTCTGTGTGTGAGCAGGAGGAGCAGCCCCTGGGCACTTCTACGGTGCTGCTCTGCCTGCCCTTCTCCTACCTGCTTCTCCTTTGGTTTCAGTGCCATGCTGGGAGGGTCCAAGAGGAACGTTGCTCCTTCCCCAGCATTCTCAAAGGAGAACTGGACCTCTACGTCCATGGGGGAGTTGTTGAGGATGGTTATATTCTCCAAGTTGCTGGGACAGTTCTGGGCCTTGTACCTGTCCACAAAAAGGGAAAAGGCTGCAGAGCAGACTGCTGCCTTTGCCACACACAGAGGAGAGCACCGTGTGCACCCAAGGAAGCAGTGCTGGAAGACCCTACTCTAACAAACAAGTGAGGGAAATGGATCCCAGTCAGGGGCATGGGCGTGTGCTCAGCCTTGCCTTACTCTGATGCCTTCCCCTGGACTTGGTGCCTCCTGCCCAGAAGCCTGATGATGCTCAGGCCGCTTCAAGCATTTTTAATACAACGTAAATTCAAAGTGCCTAGAAAAATAACAGTACACCAGGCACGTGAGTTTTTTCCCCTTCTTCCTTGGGGTGCCTTCCCTGCAGGGTATAAAGAGGCTTTTGGAAAAAGAGTTTAGCTAATCTCTTTCATAAAAGTCATAAAAGTGCTTTGGATTTCATGGGTTAGCTCAAAGTCTGAGAAAGAACTATAAAGCATCAATTCCCAAGAGGAATGCAAAAAGATAACAAATGACCCTTCTCTCAGGTGTGGAAATGACTTTGGAGTGAAAGGGTTAAAGAGGCAAACAGAGATCCCAGACCATCCATCAACCTGGAAAAAGATTGTCTGTTTTTTAAACTATTTCAATTTCATTTCCTTGGTGTGTCAAAGTAGACTTTGCCCTCCAGAGCTCCCATGGAGATAAGAACTTAATGTTAAATATTATTTTTTTTTAATGTGACAGTAAAAGTACACAATAGCTTCAATAGCAATGTGTTTAGGCAGTGAGGATGCAATGTGCTTACAGGAAAATGTAATTCCTGCTGTACGTTCCTCGCGACATCCACTGGCAGGTCAACCATAAAATCTTATTAATAATTACAGATCAATGAAAGGTTTACAAAACCATCTACAGAATAATTGCTTGATCAGGCTACCTGCAGAGCTCAAAGCACTTCAAAACCCCCCCATAAAGTTAATTTGAAGCTGACATGTGGGGGGACACAAAAGTTGTCCCCCAAGTCACCTTCGGACTGGCAGCAGCATGCGGCTCTGGCCACCAAGGCACCCACTGGGCAGGCAGAGCAGCTCCTCCAAGGCTCATTTGCCTCTAATCTGCTCAAGTTCACACATCTGTGGTCCTTCAAACCCATGTGTCTCCCAGGATTGTGCCACTGGGACAGCCTGTCTCTCCAGGTGTGTCCAGAAAAGTACAAGGCCCAGCAGGGAGCACGTACCAGTCTCTTGATTTCCCACACAGCAGTGGTCCAAAGTGGAATTGCTTTGTGCTCTCAACATACTCCTTGAAGAGGATTTCATCTTCCTCCATGGTCTCCCTCCACTGTGGAAACACCACCCTGGGCAGAAAAGTGAGGAAGGAAGAGCTATGAGATGCTCCAAGTAGGAAATGTAGTCAGAAAGCCAAAACCCCTCCTGGAGGCTGAGGTACCATCTGCCTTGCCAGCTCCAGCACAGGAGGAGGTGCTGGGTGACCTCAGGCAGCACGATCTGCCCAGGCAGAAGCCCCAGGGGTCAGCCCTGGCTGTGGTTCAGGGGCAGCAGTGGTGTGGGGGCTGCCAGGGGCCAGCCTTACCATGGGTCCTGGCTGATGCTGGGGTACAGGCTGGTGCCACGGCAGGGCAGCTTGTACTGGCGCTTTGTCTGCACGAGCTCAAACCTCAGCGTCTGCTCAAACTTCCCTGGCCTTTTGGCGGAGAAGTGAACCTTCAGTTCCACCTCACCGTGGGCAGGCACTACCCACCGGTACCGTTTCAGCCTGGCAATTAAAGAGGAGCCTTCAGACATCACTGAGGAGCAAACCAAACAAGGAGGGTGCACTCGCCATCCCGTGGAGGCACTGGCACAGGGTCGCTGTGGAGCTGGGGATGATGGGCCTTGTTTGGCAAGAGGACCAAGAAGCAGAGGCATCACCTCCTCCCGTGCGGCTCACCTGAGGAATTCTGTGGGGACTGAGGCACTTTCCAGTGTACTTTGGGATCTCGTTGCAGAGGAATCCTGGGGACTTTCTGTTCTCTGTGTGGAGATCTGCTTCTCCTTTGCAGAGCTGTCTCTGCTGGCTGCTTCACCTGTCTTTGGTTGGCCCTCGGCAGAACTGCCCTTCACATCTGGGGCCTCGGCCTAAGGGGAGGGAGAAAAGGGAGAGAGAGGTGAGCCCTGAGACATCCCTATCCTGGAAAGCAAAATGGGAGTTTGTTCACCAACAGAAGAGAGAATAAATAAGTAAGTCCACCTGCCCATGGACTTGGTCTTCCTTATTGGTGTTAGTTTTACCTAGGACACTCCTTCTCACTCAGACCCTTTCCTCAAAGGAAGTTGACTGTTTTAAGTGATTTTTTTTTCCCGTCTTGTCTTACAAAACCGCTCTGTCTCCACAGAGCTGTCTCTTTTGTCCCATCCCTGACAGAAAGGAGACCTGCAGACACAGGGCCCCATCACATCTTCACTACCTCTCCACCGTGATCCTTTTCCATCCAACCTGTCCCCCATGTCCCCATCTAGCCTGGTCCCTGCTCTGGCACCACTGGAGCACCCACCAGATTGTCTTCCACAGCAGCACCTTCTGGTGCCACAATGGTGAAGGGCTCCACACGCCCTGCAGGGCCCAGCCGCTCCTCTGGGTACTCGACTATGGAGAGCACAGCAGCAGGGGCAAGGGGAGGGCCGTCGGGATGCAGTCCCACATGCTGCAGCATCTAAAACAGAGGGGAAAATCCTCTTTATACTTCTGCCACCTTCATCCTCACAACTCCTTCTTTAAAGGCACTGAGCTTTTGACAGCGGGGTTTTTAATTTACATGAAGTACAAGTGCTTTGTTATGCCCAGTGGAGTGAGCAGAGTCAAGAGTTCCAAGCAGGACCGGGAGAGAAACCTCTCCCAAGTGACTCAGCTGAAGAAAACAATGACTGTGAGCTGCCCTGTCCTGGGGCCGTTTATGATTTCCAGGCTGGGAAACTCTGAACAGATGGGACACTTGTACACAGAGCACTCCCATTTCCTGCCCATCTGAGGGATGGTGATAACCTCCCCATCCACACAGATGATACAGAGTCATTGTGGAACATCATCAGGGGCCTGGACAAGGCTCTGTGCCATTATCTCACAATGCTCCAGGGCCCAAGACCATGACAAGCTCAAGATCTGAGCCTTGCAGGGTGTTACCTCGTCTTCCGATGGCAGCTTCCCATCCCTCAGGATCTCCCCGATCATGGCCTTTGGATCTGAGACCTGGATGTCCAGGCACGGCACCCCAACATGCTCGTCTCTGACTGCCCCCTCTGCAACTTCACTTTGCATCTCCAGCTGAGATGACTGACGACTCCTTTGGTCTCCACTTTTTTGTTCAAGCTTCTCCAGCTTCTCCTGAGGCTTATTGGTCTTCTGACCTTTGTTTCCAGCTGAAGACTGGGACTTGTTTCCCTTTTGGATCACAGGTAACTGCATGGTACCCTGAACCCTGTCCCAGTAGGACAAAACCTCTGTGACGTTCTGCTGCGATGACTCATAGATCTGAAACCTCAGGATCAAGTTCTCCATCTCAGATGGGTCCTCTGGGAGTTTGATTTCCCCCATCTCTGAGGCTTTGGCTTCCCCCTTCTCTGGGATTATGATTTTGCTCATCTTTGGGGCTTTGTATTTCCACTTTTCTGGGATTTTGTCTTTCTTCATCTCTAGGATTTTGGTTTCCTTCTTCTCTGGGGTTTTGGTTTCCTTCTTTTCTGGGATTTTGCTTTCCTCCTCCTCTGGAGGCTTAGTTTTTTTCTCTGGGGGTTTGGTTTCCTTCTCCTCTGGGGGTTTGGTTTGCCCCTTCTCTGGTTGTGGAGGTTGCTTCCCCACAGAGACACTAGTCTTTTCCTCCTTCTGCCTCTCTTCCTCCTCTAAGGCTTTTGCCTCCTCCTCAAGCTTTTGAGCCAGCCGCTTCTGCTCCCTTCAGCAAACAAAACAGAAAATATCACTGAGAGTCACCACCAGAAACTTGGGCTCACTAGTCCTGGCTGGCCCTGCACTTCGTTCCTTGACCCCGAGGCCAGGCAGAACTGTGAGACCATTTCCATGAATTTTCCTCAACCCACAGAGGTTGGGAACATCCCAAGTGAGGGGATTGGTGGAAGGGGACCTCCATGACCAGCCAAACTTAAGCCTTGCCATCATAAGGTCTTGACTGTGCAACCTCCCTCTTAAGGCACACCCCAGACACCTCCAGCCCACTGCCAAAGGCTGATCCACCAGCTCTCTGTGCTGATGCCTAAAACCCCCTTTCATCTCATGATTTCCCAGTTTAAAGCAGATCACTAATTGCTAACATCTGCTTCTCTCTCCTACAATTCTTACTCAGCTCATTCAGCCCCTTTCTCCCTGGGCATAGCCTGCTCTTAATGAGAACAATCCTATCAGAAGGCAAAGGCTGCAGGAACCCCTCTCCTGCAAGACAGGCTCTTGTCAAACAAGTTTCCTGCTGGAGCCAGCTGTGACCAAGCAAACCAGTGCTGTCTGCCATGGAAAAGATTTGAAGCAGCCTCGTCCATCTCCTCCCCATGAAACCAGCTTGAGCCTGGGCTGAAGGAAGTCCTGATACACAGGCTTGCTTCAAGCAGCCTCCACTCCCAGCTCCACGCTTTGCCTGAGCTGGGCTGCCTTGCTGGAGCAGAGCTTCCCCTGTGCTTGCCTACTGCTGCAGCTGAAGGGGAGCCTAAGGGATGTGAGCTTTTATGGGTGGTGTCCCACCATAAGGAGAACCCTGGCAGATCAGCATTGCAAGGACTTCATCTCTGGCAGGACCAGGATCCAAACCAAGGTTTGGTCTGTGCCCCACACCTGCCCACACCACAATCCAACTCTTTTGGTGGAGGGAGATGATGAGGAAGGTGAAAATCAACATCATGGACTTAAAGACACTTCTACAGGCAGTGCCAAGGCAAGCCCAAAGCCCAGGTCCCTGCAGGCAGCATCTAACCAGGAGGGCTCACCACTAAAATAGAGAAGAAGAAACTTCTCAACAGAAGAAGGTCCTTCCTCTCTTGGGAGGCAGGGAGCGAAGAGTGTCCATCCCTGTGTTGCTTCTGGCCTTTGCTATCCAACAGCTCTGAGCTCAGAATCCTTGGAGCAGGGAAGCCCTCCAGGGACAATAAGCCATGGAAGAGCAGTAACGTGTGGAAGGCTTACTCACCTCTCCCTCTGTATGCGCTTCTTTTCCAATAACATTTTATCCACTTCTGCTTTCTTCTCCTCAGGGAGGGCATCAAACTCGTCCTCATCCATTTGCAAGACACATTCTATGTACCTCTGAATAGCTTTTTCCCGCTGCAGTACTTTAGCACAAACCAGAGGAGAAACCATGAGTGACTGCAAGCAGAGCTGGGTGCTCTGGGTCAGCCGCAAGGATTCACAGCTTTTCCTGACCCAGCCTATCGTACCAGATCTTGGGGAGCTCATATCCCTGCTCCAAAATTCAATCCCCCAAACTATGGCCAGGCAGTGAGGTCCTGGGCTTTGTCTGGCTTAAGTGCACCAAGGCTGAGGAGAGTTGTTTGTCACTGAGCTACAGCAGCTTGCACTTGTGCCCAAGCTTTAGTGTTAGAGATTAAGGTGAGTCCTAAAACCTCTGGTCTCCTGCAATTCTTGAGATGAGTGTTGGTTACACTGCGGCAGAAGGTGGAACGATTAATAAAAACATTTCTTACAAGCTCTGCTGCAGACCCAGATACACAGAGATAAGATACATTGAGAGACAAGATTTGAGAGGGATGAAGATAGCTCACCTTCTTTCTCTCTTTCAGCTTCCTTCCTCTTTCTTTCAGCTTCATCCCTGGCTTGCCAAGAAGCATAATCCTGATGCAGGTTCACCATGAAGATATGACAACGATTTTTGACAGCTTTGAGTACACAGAGCAGAGAAGATTCCAGGCTGCTTGCAAAGAGGGTCTCCAAGCCATCAAAGACCACTCCCTTGTAGCAGTCTTTACACTGTGAATAAAGGGAAGAGTAAGTCAGCCATTGCACACAGGGGGCTCGCAGCTGCACCGCAAACCCAGATGTCACCAGCCATCCTTGTTCCAAGTGCAGTAGCTAAGAGCAGCTTGGATCTATCTGTGGGCTCTGCCAACTAAGGGCAGCTGCAGCATTCCCCAGGGCTCCCTGCACACAGTCCAGGATCCCCCAACTGCATGCACAGACCTCCCCCTCCTCGAGTTGTACCCCAGTGCTGTCTCTCTGGAGCAGGAATGTCTCCTTTTCCCCCACCCCACACACCTTCAGCCTCTCACTGAGGATGTCCACCAGCAGGTCCTCGGGCAGCACACAGCTCAAGCAGTTCAGCTCTTCCCCAGAACTGCTGATGATGTTCAGCTGTTGCGGCGCAGGAGCAGTGGAAACTGTGAACTGCAATGTGAACCATTGTAAGGAAAAGAAACCACGGTGGAAAGCCCTGAACAACTCCCACTGCTGGGCTTGGAGCTGGGGTTCCTCCCTGGTGGAAACTAGAACAGCCCTGCAGTACAGGCTGGGGGCTCCAGGGGATGGTCCTGGAGGGCCCATCCCTTGGCCAGCAGACAGCCAAGGTTGCAAGCCCCCAGTGCAGCCTCCCAGCACTTTGTTCACTGCCTGCAGCCACACTAGCCAGGACTGCACTTTGCCAGCAAACCACTGAGAACCAGTGGAGCTGTCTGCCAGAGCACATTCCCAGCCCAAGTCGTGGCACTATGGACGCACATACCAGGCCCTGGCTGGCACAGAGCCTCCACTGTAAGCAGCCCCTGCTCATCTCAAAGACAATGCAAAGGTCCTGGGTATCAGCCAGGGCAGATCATGTTTACCTTGGTGTCCTTTATGTTGGGTTTGCTGGCTGGCTTCTCCTTTTGTGCTGAAGGGGTCTTGTCTTTGGCATCTTTGTTGATTTTGTCCCCAGAGGCTTGTTTATTCCTGAGCTGAGGCTTTTTACCTGCACAGGGGGCAGATGGCTCAGAGGGGCTTTGAAAGCAAGCAGGCACCTTTCACTGCAATGGGCACAACCTTGGGAAGGAACATGGTCCTTTTCCCCCAGTCTGCTGGGCACTGGGAGCACTATTTCCCAGAAGCAGCTCCTTCCCTTCTTCTCTTAGCACCATGGTAAAGCACACCATCCCATACTTGATTTTAAAGCCAGCACTGTGTCCCTCCTAACAACTGTGCACACAGGTGATGCTGCTCGCACAGCAGTTCCCCTGCGGATCAAGCCAAAGATTCGTCCTCCAGGAGCATTGTTCCCATACACTGCACCCATCCTGCATTCTCCTGTGGAGACCTGCAGCCCTGCCCCACTTGCATAACCTGTCTCCACTGAAGCTAAATCCTCCTATGGGAAAAGCCCAGCTGGGACCCAGACTCTTCTTCCTTCCACCAGCTCCCAACCCAGCCAGGTTCAAAACTGAGCAGCGCAAAACTTTCCCCTGCACCGAGCCAGGTCTGGCCTCACCCTGCAGAGCTCATGGTACCAACTGCCCAGGAAGTTTCATGAAAGTCTCCAGTCTCACAGAGAGAACAGCCCAGCATGCAGGAGCTGTGTCACCTGAGAGTGGGCATAGGTAAATCTCTGGAGAAAAGAGCTCATCTGGAGCATGTCTCTCATTGGAAATTCCTCTGCGAGGCTGTCCTTCCCTTCCTCTCGTTTGCAAGGTTACACTCACAGTCAGTCCTCTTGCGCTTAATGAGCCACTTCAGAAGGCTTTTTCCTTGTTCAAGTGAGCAGCAGTTCTGCCTGCTGCCCATGAGGAACAAGCTCAATTCAGCTTTGAGGAAATATAAAATATTTGGGAAAGAGACAGGTGTGCTTCACCACCCCTGGAAAAACGAACATGTACCCAGAATGGCAGCAAAGGGGGCTATAAAAGAACCTCTGACTGAGCCCTTAAAATTGATTTCCTTTTTCTTTTTTTAGGCAAGCCAGTGATGCACTTCAGCCATGTTCCCTAAGAGACCCAAGGACTGAAAATCTGCTGCTCTGAGTAAGCAGAAGTGGACAGTCGTGGTGGGTTTCTCAAGCACTGGCTCTGGGTCCTTACCTCCATTATCTTTGTCGCTGCCTTTTGGCTCCATGGCAGCGTCGGTGCAGAGCTCGCGGGCACTGAGCCCTGCTGGGCTCCCATCGTTGGCCATGGCCTCTTTCACCACGGTGTCAATGGACACGTAAGCAGCATCATAGTACTGACACAGGCCTGCTGCTACCTCTGTCTTTCCTGAGAGAGAAAGGGGAATGCTTGGTGACACTGGCACAGGAGGCATTGCAGGGACAGGCCCTGGAAAAATCTCCAGCAAGATTTCAAAGTTAAAAGGGCAGTGGGAAAGCAAGTGTCCCTCCAGAGGAGGCCATGAGGGAGGCAGCTGGAGTGTGGGTACATGTGGTGGTGCGTTATTTTATGTTCCAATTCCGTTACGGTTGTACGGGTCAGTTTTTCTTGTTTTATTTGAATTTATTATTAGTATGTCTTATTGTCCTAGGGTGACTGTTATGGTGCTTGTATCTCCAATCGTGTGTTCCGTTTACGTTTGATATTATGTTCTGTGCTTTCAGAACTGACTCTGAAAGTGAAGGTTTGTTTTGCCGTGTTATCATCTGGTTCACCTCCCCCCATGGTCTGCTGTCTAGAAAAGGCTAGGGCTGGCTGACTGGCTTTGCTTTGCTTGCTTGCTTGCTTGGCTTGCTTGCTTTGCCTGCTTTCTGGCTTTGCTTCCTAGTTAGGTTAGCTAAGCAGTCCAATTCTTTCCCTGGACTGTTGCTTTTTCCTTTCCTCTTTCTGAGTATCATCCAACCTGCTCTGGACTGGGATCTGGGAAACACCAAGGAACATCAGGAGCCTGCATTTTGTGATCTGCAGCAGCCATCCCCAGTGCCCAGAGCAATCCCCAGTGTCCAGACCCGGGCGACCACTCCCAGGAAAGACCTTCTGGATTTGTTCATCTCTTCAGAGGGGTGAAAGAGTTTTGTTGTCATCTAGTGTTGTTAATTGTTTTGGTGCTGGGGAGTGCTTTGTTTGTTGAATAAACAGGTTCTTTTCCACTTCTCTCTCAGAGGAAATTTTTCCCTGAACCAGGTGGGTGGGGAGGGGCCGTGGGGGTTTATTTCCTGGGGGCTCCTTTCAGAGGGTTTTCCCCAAATTTGCCCTAAACTAGGACACTTATGTACCCCCCCTCCCTTTTCCCCAGTTGGTATTACCCAAGCCCTTCCCGCCTTTCCACCCTTGTCCATCACCTGACCACTCCCAATCACCCCACCAAACCACTCCCTTGTCCCCACCCAGGAGCCCTGCCAGTCACCCGGCGCCCCGCCCCAAGATCCAGAAACTTCCACTTAGGGCGTTGAGTGATTGGGTGAAGGCCCAGGGCCCCTCCCATTCCTTTGTTCTATTGCCCCTCACCTCAAACCCCTCCCCAGGGAGCCACCCACACCTTTCCCCTATTGGTCCGAGTTCTCTCTGCCCCCCCCCCACCATATAATCTTGTGTCAGACAGTTTCTCTTTGCCTTCTTTGGTTGGCAACTCAGTGTTAGCTGGATCCTCGTTCGTCTTTCCCTCACCCTGAGGGGAATAAAAGGATCGTTCTGCCCCCAAAGGAGGACGCTTCTTGTGTCATCTTTATCCGCGTGTGGGTCTCGCTTCCTGTCGCCCTCGGCACCAAGAATCCATCCCGAGCTCTCCAAAGCCTCCCCTCGGAGTAGCCCAGCGGAGGGCTCGGGGAACCTGCTCGCTCCCTCCGGAGCTAGAGCGGAGCCGGGATTGAACACCTTTCTGGAGGGAACGTGGCAGGTGCAAGCTCTTAATTCTAGAGCCCAGAGGATCATCTCCACCTCCTGTTCAGCTGAGGACTTTGCCTTAAGCACCATGGCCCACGAGGATGCGTTCCTCCTGCCTGCCCTCTCCCTGCAGCCCTGGGCTGCAGCTGACGTACCTGCCCGCGGTGGCCCATGGACGATGACAACAATCCCTCTGGGCTGCCCCTCTGAAGATGGGTCAATGCCCAGGTGGCGCATGACAGCCCGAGAGACAGGATTGCCAGACCCTTTCACCATGGACTCAGGACAGAATGTGAGAGTCCTGTGATGTGCTGCAGTGCAAAACCAGGGGGAAAAGTCAGCCTCCTGCCTACCTTTGATCCTCACCATCCTCCCCATCCCCTCAGATCCCAGGAAAGGAGACTTGGTGAAAGCAAAATGAGCTTGTTCTTTTGTTGCTAGGAAGGTGCAAATATAAAAGAGCCAGTGATATTAGACCTGGCCCTGCTGGCTGAGGAACTCATCCAGTCCTAGTCTTTGTGGCTAAGGGACACTAGGGAATATCCTGATTATTTCCCCAATTTATAGCAGGCAGATAGGAGCTTGCTTTGGCTACACTCAGGGTTGGTAGAGGATGCCACAGCCCTTCAGCCAAGAGCTCCTGCACCAAGCTGGGGAACAGGCAGCTGCTAAAAGCATGCTGGAGAGCAAGGTGACAGGAGAGTTTAGGGTGTATGGTCTGGAGTCCCACTGTGACCACAGTCAAAACAGACACCGCCAAACCCTCACTGTTTTTCTGACCTGGTGCTGCCTTGCCCATGGCTTCAGCCTCAGCCTCAGCTCTGGCCTTGAGATTTGCCTGTTGAGCATTCAGCCTCCTCTGTGCTTCATAGTCCTCCAGCACCTCTGGGGGCAGCGTCTCACCCACGGCACGTGGAGGCATAAAAAAGTTCTTTTGGTACTCGGACCCCACTGCCACCCGCAGGATCTGTATATGTAGGGAAGAGAAACCATACACAAGATTCCTTTGCTTGCCTTTCATCACACAGACTCAACAAACCCATTTTCTGTCTCCTCCCTTCCTCCCAACGACATGAACTATTTAGTTTAGGTTCTCCCAGAGCATGTCAGCACAGTTGGCTTTGCCCTGGGGATTGCCTCCATCTCCCTGGCACAAGCCTGGGAATGCTGGAGTGCTGTGAAGCTTGGGCAGCATGCACATGGGGACCAGACCTGCCTTCTCACCTTCTCCTCCTCAAGGTACTGCTCATCAAAATCCAGGGAGTAAAACTCAATGGGGAAGTCGCATGGGTTCTTCACCACCACTGTGGCCTCCAGCCCATCGCTGTCCACCAGCATCCATCCCATCTTTAGTTCTGGGGGGTTGAACTCCAACCGTGGCTCCAGACCTTGTCCTGAGAGGTGCAGCTTTAAGTGTTTGCTGCTCCCACAAATGTTAAGCTTCAGCTCATTCTTGTAAGACCACTGAAAAGAGGAAAGCGCAGAAAACTCATCCATGAAGTCCCAAGTGACAGGACCCCAAATATAACAATGCTTGCCCCAAGGTCAGGGTGTTATCAATCCCTCCAAGGTGAATGGAAACCAGATATTTACTGCTGCTAGGTACTACAGCATCTGTAGTAGTCTGGGTCTGAGTAACTGAGATGAATCCTGGTGTGCACTGTAACTGGGTATTTGGTAGCAGATGCATGTACAATGGACTGTCAGGCGTTTTCACCTAGTCATGCAGGAGTGCAATGCTCATGGGAAGGGCCCTCGGGGTTACAGTGTCCAGACACTGTCCTGGCACTGCTGCATCAGGCAAACCCCAGCTCCAGGAGAGAGGCAAATCAGCTCTCGCTGGCCACAAATAAGGGCCATCTTGTCTGCTTAGTGTTTGGCTCTGGTCAAAGCCAGACACAAGATGGTTACATCTCTTGAGCAATTAAAAGATCCCTGGGATGTTTGTGGGCACAGAAGCACTTGTGTCCATGCTGGTACACACTGCCAGTTTCCGAGACCCAGCAGCCACAGGCAAACTGCTTTTGGGAGTGTGCAGGCAGGCCAGAGCCCCAGGGACTGCTGGCAGCACACCACTACAGGTGACTGTCCCACCATGCTCAGGAAGGTGTGTGGTGGCTGTTTTGCCTGTCAGTCCTGCTAGGATGAGCCTTGACTGGCCATTCCAGGATTATCCTCTGCGAGTGGGCAGCTGCTCTGCACTGAGTGTCGAAGCTGCAAATACAGCCAGGCAAGGGGGAGGCTGAGGAGAGTTGGGCACACCCCCCCCACATGCTGAGAGGCAGCCCTGGTGCTCTCTGTGCAAGCTCCCTGTGGGCATTTCAAAGCACATCTCATGGGAGTGCTCTGTGGGGTGAACTGAGCCACGCTGAGTATGGGCCTTGCAGAAAGCTCCCTGTGAAGGCAGAGCTCATACCACACCCTCTGCACCAGGCCCTCATTTCCAGATTGCCAGACAGGCCTCCTGGGCTGACACCTGCCAATCTCACCTCCTCCTTGGGTGTAAACTGGACTTGCAAGTTCTGCCACTTTCCTGCACCAAGGGTTCCTCTGGAGGGCGTCACTTCAAAGGGACAGGGCTCATCCTCCAGCACCCGCCGCTTCTGACGTACGGCTGGTGTCGTGTATTTGAGGTGATTGATCTGGGCACAGAAACCAATTGTGTGAGGTCTCCTCATGCTCTGAGACACTGATAGGGTGCTGAGAGCACCCACAGCCAAACCAAGTGTGGCCCCAAAGCCCAGAGCTGGAGACAGGGCAGGCAGATAGGGAACTACTGTCTTCAGAGCAGGAGGAATGGGCAAAGATGGCAGAAAAGCAAAGCATCAGCTAATGGAACAGGTCCTGGCAAACCAGGCTTGATCCAGACCCTCAGAAGCTTCCTCAAATGCGCTGTAGACCCAAGTGCTCAGGCAGCCACAGGAGCAGAAAGGGCAAGAGTCACAAAGAAAACCCAACCAAGAAGTTACGTGTTCAGTGTTGCCTGTGCTTTACCTTCAGAACAGGCTTGGTGGCAGTAATGAACCATTTGCAGGGTGCTCGGAACCAGTTGTAGAGTCGGATGGTCTCAACCTGGCACTGCCCAATGAGGGTGTCAGAGAAGTGCAGTCTGTTGTTGGAGAGTTCGAGAGACAGTTCAGACACGGTGGCATGGAGGCGGATGCTGTATGTGGGGCCGTTTGTCACCTGGAGAAGGACAGAGAATTCAGTGGAGGGTGCAGGTGACATCTGCTGCTGTGCCCAGCCTGCTGCCTGCCCCAAGAGCTGTGGTACCTCTATGGGCAGCAGCACATCCACGTCACCCTGGGGCTGGTGGGCACTTTCAAAGTGCACTTCAAGCACCACAGTGTGGTCGGGGGGCAGGCACCTCATCAGGCCCAGGTCCACACTGAAACCTTGAACAGATGAAGCAAAAAACAAACAGATGAAGCAACAAAGCAGCTGAGGTACGCACAAAACACAAAATGTGTATAAGCACGTTACGGCCTTACAGATGTCCTGGCTGAGAGGTCTGGGGAAAGCCCCACGCCGTGCTGTGACCTAGACAAAAACTTAAGAGTGCACCTGAACACCCCTCAAACGCAGTGAGCCACTGTGTGATGAAGTGCAGCCCTGCCTCAAGGCCTCTTTTGGAAGCCTCTTTTGATCCACCTGAGGATCTCACGGGCTGCTTCCTCAATAAAGGCTGAATACAAGTGCTGTGACAGTGTGAACTCAAACAAAGCACTTCCAATACACAGCAGACCCCACTGGTTGGCAAAACTAGCCCACAGAGTGCCCAAAACTTGCTGCTCATGGGAGCCAAGGGCAGAAGATGCTGAGGTGACCAGGGCGATGAGCCCATCTGGCCTCTGCACAGGAGCATTAGGGCAGTCACAGGCAGACCAGGTCCCTGGGCATGGCTGGCCAGGAGAGTTCTGCCTCTAAGGCTCCCAGCAGGGCCACTGAGAAGAAAAAGCTCAGAAACCTCCCCAGGTTCAGTGGCTTAAGCTAATCTGTCTGAGACATCTCCTTCAAGGCCACAGGAAGTGTCTCCAGCACTGCTTACCTGTGTCCTGCAGGAGAGATACATCGACCTGGAAGGACACTGGGATCTGCCCAGGGTTGGTCATCTTCAGAGTGCATGTCTCAGTGTAACCCTTAAGGACAGGGCCCATGTCCAGGACATACTCAAACAGCTCAGCTCTGCAAGGAGGAGTAAGGATAGTCCTTAAACCACCGTCCTTAAGCATGGCTACTTGTCCAAGTGTACAGAGGATACAAATGCAGAGGCTATTTCTTTATTCACTGCTGTAAAAACTCAGCTCAAGCCCATGAAACCCATGGCCTGACCACCTGGCAATGACTTTGGGAAGTCAGGAGGAGTGCAGCTACTAATGGTAGCTGGAAATAAAATTAGTTTAAAATGGACACTGGCCACAGCTCCTCTGCCATGAAAAGCCAGTATAGGTGAGTCCAAAGGGCCTCCACTGGTCTCAGTAGAACTGCCTAGCCTGGTGTACAGCCTGAGCTTGAAATTGCTTTGGGGTCTAGGAATAAGGTTTGCCTGCACAGGAAATCTTCACTGCTCTGCAACCAGACTACATGATCTGCTCTGCACAGCATCTTCTTCCTGAATTGAAGCCTCTCCCGTGCTCGTGCTGCATCATGACGGTGCAAAGGGATGGACCAAGTCACTTAGATAAGTTCTGCCACCCCACCAGGATTCAAGCCATCTGACTTTGGGTTTTAAAGGATTTGCTGACATGTGCAGTTCCCTTCTCCTTTTGTTTAGTGTGCTCTGTTAGCTGGAACCACAACATCAGCTGGGAGCTGTCTCTATCAGAGCTAGTCAGCAGGGACAGAATTTATGCTGTCTGGAAGGGCTTGAAGGTCTGCACTGGGTCCCCCAGCTCTAGGGACAGAACCCCACACCTGTGGGGAGCTGAGCAGTCCAAAGCTCAGCGTGGTGCTGGGGAAGGGAGGACACCCTGCTGCTCCCATGTAGCGTGTCACAGCCACCGGGACCAGACCCCTTCTGAAGTCCAGGCTGTTCCCAGCTCTGCAGACACAAGGACTCAGGAGAAGGGGACATGGCAGGGTGTTCCCCACGGGACACCTGGGGATGGGGCTGGAAGGCCCTACTCACTTGACAAGACTCTGGCACAGCTCCTCATCAGGGAAACTTCTCTTCAGGGGATGGGATGGAAGCGCTTTCTGCCACTCCAGAAAAGGCTTCTCTATCAGCATCCTCATCATCTTTATCTGCATCTGAGAGTTTGACTGAGGAAAGGGAAGACAGTGGCTGATTAGCAAAGGTCCTTCCCAAGGCCCAGCTTGCACCTGAGAAAGGATCCCACCCTGCTCTTGTTGAGAGGGGGTGTGGGGTCCTCCTGTCTGGCTGCTCAGTGTCTGTGACACCTCCTGCTCTCTTAGCCAGGACCTCATCTCCAGGGACGTAACTCCAGCATCCCTGCCTGCCCAGACACTGTTAGCAAAGCTGATCTGACCAGGCAGACAGACAAGCCAGGAACATTCCAGAGCTCCAGATACTTGCCTGCCCCCAGCCAGTACCAAGGCAGCTTGGACAAAAACTGTTTTGAAAGGGAACTGGGACCAAGCTGGTGCCTCCTGGAGATGAGCACCTCCAGCACAGCCCCAGGGTGCAATCAGGCAGCCGCTGTTTGGGTCTGTAACTCTGGCAGGGCTTGGGCTGGGACCAACAAATTCCCCAGCAATGACCTGCATCTCCTTCAAAGTACCATCAACTCCATCCCTGGAGTATGGCTTTCAGGATCTGTCCCTGGGGTAGCCAGGAAGCTGCTGTAGCCCCAAAAGAGACCATGACCAGAGTGGCAGCCCTAGGGGTAATGCTGAGGTGACACAAGGTTGTAGCTGGGCAAGGAGGTCCCAGATGCCATCAGGGCGCTGGTAAGCTGCTGTGGGGTGCAAGGGGCTCAGGTGACATGGGGAGGGGCTGCAGCTGCTCTTACTACAGTGCCAGAGCGAGGGATGTGGGGCTTCAGGTCCTGAGTCTTTGGATTCCGAGTCTTCAAGGTCTGACTCTCAGTGGTCTGAGTTTTCAGGGTCTGAGACTTCAAGGTCTCAGTCTTTGGCCTCCGAGTCTTCTTCTGAACAACTGATTTATTCCACTGATTGAATATTTGCCGGTGTGTTATGAGCCGTTTCAGTGTCTTCTCATATTTTTCATTTTCTGAAGGAAGAAAACATCCACAAAGAGAAGTGTGAGCAAAGTGCCAGTCCCATTTAAACTGGGAAGTCCCTGCCTCCCAACACTGGTTTCTTCCAGAAAGAAATCCCTCAAGCCATCTATGGATAGTGGATGCTGCTGTTCCTCTGTGAATCCCATCCCCTGCAATGTCACACAAATCCAACCCTGCCAGAAGCCCTGCCAGCCTCTCTTACAGCTTTCTCAAGCCTTTCACTCTAGCCATTATCCTTCAGGACCCTGCCAGATGTGCTGGCAAGCTCTGCAGGATGGTTCCTGGGACAAAGCCCACATGGGATCCTCTGCTCAAGACTCATGAAGCAACCAAAGGGCTTGAGTTGGTCTGGAAGTCCTGCAACCCTCCAGGCTTGGTGGAGGTGAGCATGAACTGCCCTATGGGCATATGATAGGGAAGAAAACCAGAGGAGCCCTTCCTGGGGGCAGACAGGCAGTGCCCACCTTTGATGTTCCAGGGCAGGTTCACACTGATCATGGGAAAGGATGCTTCTCCTTTCAGGAGGATATTTTCTGGGTCCAGGTGACCCACTTTAAGTTGGTAAGTCCTGATGAAGGCTCCTGGTAATCCTGGCATGTAAGAGAATTTCAGCACTTGCTTCTTGCCAGGTGCAATGGAGCCCTGCAGGGACAAGAGAAGAGGGAGGGAATGCATCAGAGTGTTTGATGGGGAATCAGGGGACAGACAGGCTGAGGAGACAGGTTCTCATCTAGAAGCAACCATCAGATCACATCACCTTTGTGATAAACATATTGCAATGTTGGCTTTCACACTTGTTAAATACTATGTGTTTTATAATGTTGACTTCTGTAAAAGAAGTTTTGCTGAAGTCTAGAGTTCTTTTAATGAGAATGTTGTGTTGTGATATCAGTGTTGGTGAAGAGCTGTTGCAGTAACCAGTGAAGAAATGGAAACCTGTTGAATGTGTTGAAAAGTAACAAATGAGCAGGACTAGGACAACTGCACATGCTCCACCTGCTGAACAGGACCCGACAGAGTGGCCCAGCACTCTGGCGGTAACGCCCTGTCCCTGTCCTCTGTTTATTGTCTCCACTTCTCTTTTCTCTCTCTGCTCTCTTTCCTATCCCCACTCTGGTCAGGACCATGCCCTTTCTTTATCAATAAACAGTTTTCAGATACAGTACTTGCTGGTTTTGTGCCTTTTTTTTTTTTTTGTCTGAGAAATCGATCAAAAAGAATTCTCCTCTACTCCCCTTACAGCAGGACAGGACAGCGACCAACACACTTGTGCCTCCTGCTGGTGTCTGCCTCTGACAGCAGAGCCACCCACCAGCCAAGGCCATGGGGGAGTCGATCAGGAGAGCTTTTGTTTGACCTCCTCTGCCCCCAGCAGAAATTGCTTACAGCCCTGTCTCTCTCATGGCTGTGTTTGGGGTTTTCCCTGCCAACTTTTTTCCCCCTTCCACCCCCTCCCCTTTTTTTTTCCCTTTAACACTCTCCTGGGCCACCTGGCACAGGGCTGGGGTCAGTCACTTGTGCTACTTACAGTGGTGGGGTTGACCAGAAACACACCAGGCAGATGCCGGTCTGCAGCGCTGGGCTTTAGCACCCAGTTGAATTTGATTTGACTAGTGTTCCACAGGGTGACCGTGCTGTGACCAATTTCATTAAACATCTGGAGAGAAGGCACAGGAGCAGGAAGTTACAGACCCAGGCCTGCTGCTGGGAATCCCTTTCCTCTCTCCTGGGCTTGGAAGCAGACACATCATGGGAGCAGGGACCAGGGAGGAGATAAGGGCACTTGGGAACCTGGGGAACCCCCAGACACAGGGCACCTGCACAGGACCAGGGAGCTCTGGCAGCACACAGCGGTGTGGTAACAACCATGTGAGGGCCAGCAATAAATGAACCGGGGGACACAGGCCCTCTGCACTCTGAGGGGTCACCAACAGCCAGGAGAAACAGAGACAGCACTGAGGCATTCCAGGAGAAAAGGCACCTGCATGCAAGTATTGGCAAGCAACATACATGCAACAAGGGAGTCACACAGGGCAACGCAGATAGGGCCAGCAGCTGGAAATATCTGTGGGCTTTCAACTGGAAAAGAGTGAAGTGGGAATTATTCTGGACAGTCCCTCCAACTGTAGTGACTGGAAGCTCAACTTCTTCCCGTGATTGTTGTGTGGATTAAGCAAGAGGTTTAGACAAGAGCATCTCCTTGGAGGTCAGGCTTTAGGCATGGATCAGCAGAAGGATGTCTCAGGGACATGCCCCTCAGAGCATCCCCACTGGGACCCTGCCTGCCCCAGGAGGCAGTGTTAGGTACCCTGAAAAAGAGGCACCCCCAACATTTTGGAGAGGGTTGGAGATGGCCATTTTAAACCAGCTTGGATGCCAGATGTGTCCCTCAAAGGTTGTACTTCCAGGCCCCAGGGCCAGCAAAGGGGCTGGGTAGGGGAGGGAGCCCTGGATTGAGGTGGGCAGGAACCTGCTAGCCATGGTGCCAAGCAAGGAGCTGTGCCAGGGAATATGTGTGGTACCTGAGAGCCACAGTTGATCTCCTGGAGGCTCAGGGAGTAGGTGAGATGTGAGACCTCCCCGGTCACCACCACCTCGTAGGTGGGGCCTCCCTCCACGTGGCACAGTGCTGTGACATCAGAGATGGTGTTGAGGTGGCCAAAGTAGGTGAAGGAGACCTGCTGGCTTTCTCCTGGCTGCAGCACACCTGACAGTGGCAGGATACTGAAAGCCTGGATGGAAGACAGGAGGGATTGAGGTGTTGAGCATGGAAAAGGATGCAGAAGAGCATCTTGGAGCAAAGTACAGCTGTACCTGGAGGGGCCTATTCCCCAAACACAGCCAGAATCACCCTAATCTCATCCTGCATCCATGCCACTGACCAGTGGTGGGACCATGGGGAAAATCTTCCCCCATACTCAAGGATCAATCCGTTAATTAATACATTACATTACAGTGAACTGGGATGTCTCCTGGCAGTAGAAATTCTCTCTGATGCACAACTTGCCTTTAAAAAGCATTTCTGAACTGCTTTTAGAGAAGGAGGAGACTCAGAATGAGGGCTCTTGAAGCTGAGTGGAGGACTCCGGCCCAGCTCATCTGACTCCTGAGGCTCTTCCCCTCTCTCTCTGCTTTAAATGCTGCTTTCTCAAGGTGCTACAGCAAAAGCTCCTGCAAAAATTCCCTATGGACCACCTGATGAGTTCCAGGGGGAGCAATGCCCTCCATAGGTGCTGCACAGCGTCCTTGGGCAGCCCTACAACATGTCCTGCACGGCCCCGCCAACACCCAGTTGGTTCAGCAGCACTTTGTATGGGCCTGGAGGGACGTGAGGCCCCTCTGTGGGCAGTGCTGGGGGCCACCAGTGGGACTGGGAGCTACAGCCCTGCTTGCCACGCTGGCAATGGGCAAGTGAGACAGATTCCCTCTTACCTCCTCCACTTCGAGGCGAGTGTATGGGATGTCCACGAAGTACCTGAATCCCTCCAACTCTAGTGGGAGGTGAGGGTCTTCAAAAGGTTGTGGTGGCACCTGAAAAACAAGCCATTTTCTATGCTAGGAGGAAGAGACAGCCACTTTGCAAAATCTCAGTTTGTAAGACAGCTTCAGGACCACCAGTGCAACACCAGCTCTCGGGTGAGAGCAGACACCTGGAAACAGGTAGTCTGGCTGGGCTGGGAAAAGGGTACATGGAGATCAGGACTCATCACAGCTTGCTCTGGGAAGGAAGCTGGAGGTCTTACCACGATGATGCAGATAAAAGCCTCATCTTACATTGTGAAGGAAACAAGGCAAAAAAATCCCACACTCAATACAGGCCTGTAGGATCTGAGTGAGCTTCTCCAAGGAAAACTCCTACTTCTCCCTCCCACTTACCCCATACCCAGCCACTGGCCCTGCTGTCCAGCCCACTGTCAGGGCACAGGACAGCAGGGCAGCAAAAAGGGAGGTCAGCACGAGCGTGACTTGTTGGTGGCAGGCTGGGGAGACAACACAAGCAGTAGGTGTACAAGAAAATCTACCTCTTCTCCTATAGATGGTTTAAAATCCTGCCCTTCTTTCAGGGCTCTGGCTGCCTCCTTCCTTTTAATCCTGAAGTCTCTCCATTGAGATGCCAAAAGAGCCGAATAGGTTCTCTTCATCTTTGGTGGTTCAGGTTTGAATTTAGGTGGGTAAGGCTCATCTCTGGAAAACAACATAACTATGAACACGGACCTGCAGTAAAGAGGGAGGGACACCTGCACAAGCAGCTCCTGGTCAGGATGCAGCCCCTGGGTGGGTGCTGACACGCTGAACTGAGAAATGGTTTGATCCAGCCCTTCCTAATCCAGGCTGGAGCAGGTCTGTTCTAAAGGCAGCCCAGGGATGACATTGAGGGAGCAGCAGTGCAGCAGCTGCAACTGCTTGCATTGAGCAACTACAGAGGACAGGGATTAACAGCTTGTGGGGATGCAAAAAGTACAGTGGGAGAGGAAAAGACAGAGAAGGAAAGCAAAAAGGTGAGATTTGAGGCACCAAGGGGCAGACCCAGCCAGTGATGAGCCAGCACAACTCCCCCAGTGCCCAACGCCAGAAACTCTGCAGCAGCTCCACCAGGTATTTATCAGGAATGTTTCCCTGACACTGCTGGGGGGTTGGTTGACATTTTCCAACACTCCCAGGGGACTCAGGTTGCATTCCCCATTTTAAATTGAAGTCGGTGCTCAGGGTAAATCTGTTTGTGTTTCTAATGCCATGTGAGGGACACAGTCGAGCCGTGCCTGCCTGTCACCCTGCTGAGCTGCAAGTGCTCCCACACAGTCAAACATGACCTGGATGCTCCATCCCCAGACAGGCATTCAGGGCCTGTAATGACCTGCTCCCCAAAGAATCACTGCCTTTAGCTTTGTAGCTTGTTACCTAAGGCTGGGTTTCATTTCTGGATGAGGGGCTCTCTCATCATAGCCCCCAAGAGATCCCTATTCATCTAATCTACTGTCTTTAATTTTAAAGAATGGTTTGAGGCAACTTCCCAGGACCATGGTGCGCAGACAATGACATTTTTCCCTCTAAAGTAGAAACTCTCTGGGAGGCAGGGATAGGAGATGATTTGATGAGGAAGTCCTGATGTCAAGCAGAACAGAACCCAGCAGTACTGTGGGAGCTGGCACTAGGAGCCTTTCATCAAGGTGGACATTGCCTCAGGCCACAGAGGTCTGAGAAAGCAGCTTTCAGCCCAGCTTTCCTTCCCAGGGGAAACCCCTATGGGGGCTACGCAGCACCAAACTGCTGGAAAACCTATTCCCTGAGCATCCAGCCTGACCACGGCTGGTCAGTGTTATTTGCCAGATCCTAGGCCATGAGACAGAGTAAAAATTTAACAGAGTAGAAATCCATTTAGATTTAAGTGAAATGTGCCACTTTGAGCTTGCTAGCATAAATAAAATATGCTGTTTAGTCTGGTAACTTTGCAGCACTAGTAAAACTGCCCCAGCTGAGGAGAAAGAATGCAAATTTCCAAGCTGAAGAGATAAGAGATAAGAGAGACTCCTTGAAACAGACAGGGCAGAGTGACCCAGGAGTTCTTTCTGTACTTTCTGGCAAAAATCTAGGTACAAGTGTAACTAGCTGTATGTGTAATGCAAAATCAACAGAATGAATATGCATGAACCTATTATAAAATTATATGCATATTTAAATTAGTAAAGGGTAATAAAAAGGATCTGGAGTCCTCAGGGGATGCATGTCCTTTGAAGTGGAATGATCCCCCACACACATCCAGCAGTGTAATAAACATACCATCCCTACAGATCTTTATAGGAATTGTGGGTTTTGACAGCTTTTTTTCTTTGCCAAGTACAAACAGGACACCAGCAAGAAGAGCTTCAAGCAGGGGCAAAGGTGCACATACCTCAACTTGTTCACCTGGCTGTCGGGATGGAATGACCAGTGGTACTTTACAGGAAATGGGCTGCAGTTGGTGATCTCCAGAGAACGCACTTCTTCAGTGCCAGCCGCGATGCAGCCAAACTCCAGGGTGCTGGGCTGGATTTGGAGATTTGGGAAGTGGACTTCTCCCCGAAGGGTGATATGCTCCACAAAAGGATGGCCCCTGACCATGTCTATCTTCAGAACCTTCTCTTTTTTCCAGCTCTTAAAATCCAGTTCATAAGCTGGGTCAAACGCGATGTAGAGATGACAGGTCTCCCCTACATCCACTGTCACGGGCTGCAAGGACACGAACAGTAATTAATCACCTGTGGGATGATGTCCCAAGGTCTGACAGCATGAAACAGCAAATGCTCAAAGTGTGACCCCAGCTTGGGCTTCTCAGTTCATGGTTCATTTCTTTACAGCAGGGCTCTGTAGGCACCACAGTCTAGTCCAGGATTCCCTCAGGCCATTTCTGTGCTCAGCCCCAATACAAGGGGGTGGCTGCTGCAGAGCTGGCATGCTTTCCAGGAGACATCTCTACTGCATGGCTTGCCCAGACCCAGTTGCCTGTTCCCTTCTCCCTGTGCCTTAAAGCCAGGATGGATCTTCTTAATTTAGGTAAGATTTTGATTCCTTCAGCAGCTTGGCTGATGCAGCACAGGCCAGCCCATTGCTGATGCTGCAGAATGAACTTCTTGACTCAAGGAGCTCCCAACAGAAAGGCACCACCACATCCCCCCTCTTCAGACCCCACTGCAGGAGTCCAGGGCTGCTCACCTGGCCATCTGGGAGGGGCTGCTGGTCCTCATCACAGACCAGGAACGGCTGCTCCACATCCAGCATAAGGTCCAGTGGCAGCAGGCAGGTGTTTTTTAAAGCCAAAGGCTGGTACTGCAGCGTCAGGACATCACTGGGTTTCTATGGAAACAGGAGACAAGGAAAAACAGCCTCAACCAGCCACAGACCTCCTCCTGCTTCTGCTGCATCTCACAAGTTTCAGCCCCAGAAGTGCATACATTTCTATTTACCCTTTCTATTTGTTTCTACCCTTCCTTCCAGGAGGTTTTTCTTTATAGCAGATGCTTCTCATCTTTAGAAACTACAGCATCCTCTGGGGGACAGGGAAACACACCCACATACAGATGAGGGAATTGGCCCCTGAGAGGAGGCAGCTGCTTGAACAAGATCTAAAGCAGAAAGTGAATCCAGACCATTTGTCTCCAGTTTTGTCTCTCTATAGGGCAGAACAGCACTAGATGGTCTTCACTCACATACAGTCACTTCTAACAACCTTACTGTCTCTAGCAGCCTCAAAAAGCAGTTTGTCTGCAGCATGTCCCCTGCAGCCCCTTATACAGGGACAGGGTATCTGTGGTTCAAGGCTATGATCAGCCCAGGCTCTTCCTTCCTGTCTGTGCATTGTGCTGGGCTTCCTGCATGGTTTAGAGAAACCAGAGACTTTGGGAAACTAGTTCTGGATGTGCTGATATCAAACAGGTGCTGTGCCATAGTATGCCATAAAGCAGTTTGTGTGTGTAGCATCGAGCAGAACCCAGGCAGAATCAGGGACAGCAGAAAAGCTTCTAAATTACATCTGAACTGCCTGTTCCAGGGGGGATTCTGTACTTCAGTGGAAGCCTGGGAACCAGAGGAGAGGCCTGAAACTACAGAAACCAAATCATGAACCATCTTCTCTTTTTCAGACAACTTGCAGGAGACAGAAAGATGATGCTGGAGTTGGGATCCAGAGACTAAAGGGCACCTGCTCTGCCTCAGTGTTATCATCACTGCAGCTGCAGGATGTCTGGAGGTCCTTTGAAGCAGGTGAGGCTTAGGGAAATGCACAGAGCTGTATCATACAGTTATACCATAAAGCATCCATGCCAACAGCAGAGAAGGCAAAGAGACACAGGAGATGATGGATTTTTCCCTGTCAGCCTGAGGAATTCACAGGACTCTCCCTTTTTCCCAGCTTCCCTACAGCATCAGTGTACAGACATCACCGTGCCTTGGAGGATCCTCAAAAGCCTCCCTTTACAGTGAGCAGAGAAACTGGCAATTCTCTGGAAGTGGCCACGATCCCCCTTGGCAGTGCAGCTGTAACTGCAATCTTATTTTGGGGAAGTCAAATACCAGTCTCATCTCTAAAAGCATCTTCACTCACTTTACAGAGTGCCTCGGGAAGGGTAAAGAGGGGCTTTAGCACAAGCACACACTCCCCTCAGCCATGCTGTTAAATGCCAGAATGCAATCCAGAGACTTACCTTCTCCACCCGGAAAGAGAATTGTCTGGCTGATACTTCTACAGAGGGGTGAATGAACTCACAGGTAATGATCGTTTCTATTATCTTCTCTGTCATTCTTCTTTCCCCAATGAGAGCTTCACAAACCACGTAATCCTGCACCTCCTGCATGCAAGAGTCACATGTCACCAGTGGGTGGTGGCAGGACATCCAGAAGATGCTGTGCATTAGCTCAGCACCCACCACAGGCCCTATTCCTGCCACACCTACAGTCACTGCCCCTTTTTCTTCCTGTGATGCAGCTTATTTATTCTGTGCTCAATTGTCTATACACTGCACCCCAATAACCACAAAAGGCACTTGTGAGAAACTCCCTCCCTTCACATGGCTTTTGTTTTACTCCATGCTTACCCCAGATAAAGCACTTGGCACTTGTTTAATTCACTTTCTTTTTGGGCTCCTAGTCTAAGTGTAACTTATTTCTCTGCCTTTCTTTGCTGACTAAGCATGCTTGCCCCAAAAGAGCAGTATTTCCTTCCACCCCTACTTTGGGATCAGCACTGGGTTTTGGTAGCTGTGGAATCACAATAAAGTCTTACCTGGTCTGGGGGTGGCCAGCAAGGAAAGCAGCTGGTGCTGCCACAGAAACATGTGGTCTTAAACCAGTTTTGTGAAGGCCCCTGCTCATTTCCCCAGGCAAATGTCAAGGGACTGTGGAGCAAGCCCAGGGGAGGGGATCTGATGGTTCCCCAGGCTCAGCCCGTGGTGGGCACCTCACCTGTGTGACGTCGGAGAAGCCTCGCAGCACCATGTCCACAGACTGGCCTGGCTGCAGTTTCATTGACCGTGGCTCCAGCCCAAACACGGGGGTGGCACGTTTGGGGCTCTGGGAATCATCTTTGCGGCTCCTGAGGGCTGAGACACTCTGGCCCTCCTCCTCAGGTGGGCTGTAGCATCCCACGCTCCAGATGAGCCAATGGAAATAGGGGCCCCTATTTGTTAGTTTGAACTGACGAAAACAGGGAACGAGGCTAGAATACAAGGCAGGATGGAAAATTATAGAAGGCAGGAGGGAGTAGCTATTTCCCTGGTCATCAGATTGCCTCCAGTGAGCAACCTGAGGTGTTAATAGCTTGGAAAAGGTCTTCATTTACAGCTCTTAACATGGACCAGAAATAGTGTCTGATAAGCTGCCCTTAGGATGTCACTATTGCAAAGAGAAATATGTTTATAATGGTAATGTAGCATTTTCCAGGTGAGGCTAACAGGGCATAGTGTTTTCCTCCAAAATGTTTGTTCTGGGGTGATTCATACTGTTGCTGTATTTTGTATTAATCTGTGCCCAAAACTGTAACTGAATCTTTGAGATCCTGCACTTGGGGACTTTGTGTGTGGGGGTATGATTGCAGGCATTTCTAAAAGCTGGCTCAGAGGCAGTTTCTGGATGACCCCAGCAAGCTGGTAAAAACTGTCTGCCTGCTCCAGGAGAGGAAACCAGGGCAGCAGGGCCTCTCTTGTTCATAGCAGCCTTGGCTTTGCACTGGTAGTCATTGGTAGAAACTTCATTTTGCAATTAGAAATTGTTTGGAAGTGAACTTTGCAAACTCTGCTGGCAGCTCTGCCTCTGGAACTGCTCTGTGGGCTCCTGCCTTCAGCTGAGGGTTGTCACCCTCCTGTCTCTTTGTTTCCAGGAGCTCTGCTTGCCTGGGAGGTGCCATTTGGAGGGGAAGGGGAAGGTGAAGGGGAAGGGTGTGATGCCACCTTCCCTTGGTCCCTCAACCACACAGAGGGACCACCTCATCCGGGCACCATTTCAGGAACCTTTTGTTCTGGGGGAGCCTGCCATCATCACTTGAGCATTACTTCATCAAATGAGGACATCAATATAAAGATAATTCAGTGGCAATTTAGCAACTGGTTTCCCTGTCAGTGGCTTTTGAGGGTGTCTAACAACTCTCAACTGGCCATCACATGTTTCTAAAGGAATATCTGCCTTCAGGAAAGGAGTCAGGGCTTTGAACACTGAAGATCTTGCCAGAAGGACTACAGCAAAACTGCTCCTTGTTGAGAGAGGAGGAGAGGCGGGAGTGGAGAGATCTCCTACCTGAACTGGTATCCCAGGTTGAGCTCTGGGGCAAACGGTTTGTCTATGGCAATTGCAGTGCCAGTGCCCAAAGCCATCAGCCTACATTCGGCCCAATAGCTGTTCCCAATGAACAGATGGACAACATCATCAAAACACTTAGTGTCATCCAGGGTTGCTGTGACAGTCACAGGCAGCTCAGCCCTAGCGGGGATCACTCCTGCGCTGGGTTCAATGGCAAAGCAGTCGGGTCTGTTAATCTGTAAGACAAGCACAATACGCATTTAGGATGGGAGCCATACACCCTGGTGTCTTGTGGGATATAAGAGAAGGAAAGACTAAAGAGGGGAGGGCAAACATCCTAAAGGCTTAATTTCCCTAAAGTTAAGCTACAGTACTGGGCAACAGTAGAGCTCATATAACCTGCATTTTCCCCTCCTTTAACAGACTCACACAATTAACCCAGTTTTGCCCAACCCAAGGGACACTTATCCTCAGGAGAGTGTTCTTTCCTCAGTCTTTCTCTGGAGTGTGTGCCAAGGAAAGCTGCTTTCTCTCTCCTGGCTTCTCACAAAGGCTCAAGGCCAGAGGAAGCCCATGACTGCTCAAATCCCACTCCATAAACCACATGGCTGGAGGATACTGCTGAGACCCTGAAGAATATCTCTGCAAGACCAGTTGTGCAAAACCCCAACACCAAACTATTCTTTCCCAAGGGGCCATCAGTGCTTCTCAACATCCCCTACCGGACTGAAGCCCTCACTTCCCACCAATCATCAGCTATAGAGAGGTGCCCCAGTGCCCTCTGCTTTGGAAAAGTCACCTCCAAATGTTAGAGCAGAGCAGGAAAGCAGAAAGCAGAAAGAAAACTGGACAACATGTGCTCTGTGGGCATAGCCCACGCTTCCCAAGAACTCCTGTCACCTGGTTTCTCATGGACTTCATGGATTGGGCAAGAGAGCTGGAAGCTGCCCCAGGGAGGGGGAAAGGCCTTGCACCAGCACTGCTGTACAGACACAGCTCTGCAGGTCCGGCCCTGGCAGGAGCATGTGAAACCCGTCCTTTACACACCACAACCACCCAGCCAAGGTGCATTGCTCCCTGCAGAGGCCAGAAGCAGAATTCCATTGTGGAGTCAGGGAAAGTTGCCCTGGAAAAACCCCCTCATTTTAGGGTAACATTTATTGCCCAAACAGCTGGAAAAGCAGCAAGAAGAAAATTCATGCCCCTCCTCCTTGGCCCAGGAGACTGTGGCTGGACTCTCCCTCACGGCCTGATGCTTTACCCACAGCCACAAACAAGTCCTTAGTATCAGGTTTTAACCAACCTCACAAGTCCAACACACCCAGCATGAAGAAGAACAAACCTCAAGCCTCTCACAGATCTCCCCCTCCAGCAGACATCCCACCCAGCCCCAGGCCCCTCCTGGCTGCACCAGCCCTGCTCCCCCTGCCAGGGGAGCAGCCCCAGCTCCTTCTGCCCTGTGCAGCCTCCAATATTAAACTGCCTTTCTCTGCAGCTGGTGCCCAAAGATGCTCTTCAATGGCACAGAGATCACAGGCTGCGGGGGTGCACAGCCCCCACACGTCTTTGTGTGGACAGCCCAGCTGGCCTGACCCACAGGACGTGTGAAAATTGCCTCCCCACGAGCAGTCTGAGGACAGACCCCACACCCTCTTCTCTACTGTGAACAGCAGTCTGGCACAAAGCAAATGCAGATGGAGCAGGGAAACCATAGGGAAATCCACGTTCTCTGGGGAGCAAAGAACCACAGGTTCCTCTCCATCTCAGAGCTCCAAAAATGTGACACACACACCTAAAGACAAAAGATAAAATTATAGGAGAACCTGTCAACACAATCCAGACTAATTTCTGCTCCAACATCTCTGCACCTGGCTTCACTGAGGGGTGCCCCAGCTAACACCACTCCAGAGCCAGGTTCCTCTTGCCTCGCTCAGATGGAATATTGGAGCATCTTGCCTCCTCTCACACAAGGCTATATGGAAATCTTGCATATAAAAACCAAGTCATGGCAGCTACTGACCAGTCAATTTCCCTGGAAAACAGCCCCACAGATACTTACAATCTCCATCCTGAAGTCTATAGGGGTAAAACCTTTGTTGAAGAGGGTAAAACTTTGTGGAGTAGGCTGTAGTACTGGGAGCATGCCAAAGTCTATCAGCCTTGCACTTAGGTAGATCTTTCCCAGGCATCCAGAGCTCCAAAATTCTATTCTCTGTTCCAGGAAACAGGCAAGAAAGATTAAAAAAAAACAAACAACAAACAACCAACCAAAAAAAAAAAAACAAAACAAAAACAAACCCACAAAACAAATCACAACAGGGAAACCTAGAAAAGCTTAAACAGCTCAATCATGCTCAAGTTATTTATTTAGGGACAGCTACCAATTGCCAGCTGAAATGCTGGGCTTTTGAGGAAAAAGAAAATTACATATTCATCTCCAAATTAAAAAGGATTAAGGTACAAGAAACTTTCAAACTACAAACTATTGGCCCAAAGGTAAAAGCTTTGCAAGAAATCTCTAGTTAAGACCAGGCTGACAGTTAAACAACTGGTTATTCTGCTGGGGAGACACCCTCCTCTTTAAGGCAAGCAGCCTGATAGTTGAAAGAAACTGTTTTGTCAAACTTCAGGCTCCCTGGCACAGCCTGCATTGCCTGTCCTTCCTGCTGACTGATTTACATGCAGTGCCACAATGGCCCAGGTTCAGATGTTTGGTGCCATCCAGGGAATTTGGCACTGTCATTTCCTTATGTTTTAATATAAGTTTAAATCCTTGCAACCACTCTTCAAATGCCAGCTTTCCTTTCTTTTACAGAAAGCTCAAGGTTCCCAGAAGTCTTCTGACATCCTCTTTTGTGCTCAGAGAGATGACATTTAAAAACAGATGTTTCCAAAGTTAATAGCATTTTAAAGAACAATTAAATAAAATAATCCTCGATTCCTGCTTAGATGAACTACCTTCTGTGTCAGACACTGAGATTACCACCTCTAAGGCGTGAACTGTTTGTGCCACCCATCCCTCCTGTCCGTCTCCTCAGCAGCCTGTGCCTGTTTTCCCCAGGAGAATCCCTGTACCCTTGCACCCTGCCAGGAGCAGTTGCACAAAGGCACACATCTCCCCTTGCACTCACCAGTGGGTTTCTCTCATCCCCAAACACGCCGATAAGAATGTTGGTACGATGCTTGCCCAGTCTTTGGACTTCAATTGTAACTGGAATCTCTGCAATGCTGTGAGGCTGGACAATCCCACAGGGTTTGGGGCTGGAGTAGAACACAGGAGAGTCCTCCTTGCGTTCCTGGAAGGGACAGAATCAAATGCAGCTTCAGAGGGACCTCTGAACAAACTTCAGACTCCTTAACATCCAGCGCAACAGCAACTTACACACATTTTTAAAAATCCCCAGGACAAAGGTAAAAGGCACAAACAAGATGCAAGAATTGTAGGCTTAGCATTCTCAGGGGGTCCTGCAAGGAGGCTGCCAGCACGGGCACTGGTGTCTGTGGATGCAGCAGCTTTTCACAACCCTCTAAGATCTCCCACAAGAAAACACCCTGAAGACTAGAACATGAACTGTTTCCTCAGGAGGTTAAACTGCCTCCTAAAGTTTACATTCAGCTAGGATGCTGTTCTCAGCAGATCTTTAAGACTGAACAGAAACCAGCAAGGTCTTATCCAAACCCTTTTCCCCCTAATAATCTCCTCAATAATATTTGAGAGGAGGAGGTGGATGCGATGCCAAACCTGGGGAATAAGCCCGTAGCAGCCAGGAAGGTCGGTGGGATTCCCAATGACCAACTTCCTCTCAAATGGCACCTTCAGCTCATACTCATCGTGCGGCGGGATTTGGTGGGACACATGCAGCTCAGGAATGCAACACCTGGGCAAAGAGATGACCCCAGGGGAATCAGAGATACTGAGAGAATGGAGAATGTTTACCCCCAAAGATTGTGAAATGGAGCATAACACATTTGTCACTGTCAAACAGACATTTAACAGCCCGACAGCTCAAGCACCAAAAACCAGGCCAATAAATTTGATCATTCCTGGGCCCTTTAGAAAAGGGCCCAGGACCATGCTGGGCTGTGAGCAGGGTGCTTTTCCCCACAGGCTGCTGTCCAAGCACCGCTGTTCTCATGTCCAGCTGGGCACAACATGAGGTCATTAGACAGCACTTCTCCTTGGGAGCTGCAGCCAGCAAACCCTGCGCAAGGCAGCGGCTGGGGGAGGCCAGGGAAGGGCTGGTACCTGGCTGTGACGACCAGTGATTCCACTCCCTCGCCATAACCCTCCAGGTCCACCAGCATTTTCCGATAGAATTCCATCACTGTGTTGGAATGCAGGGTCACCTGGTAGAAGAGAAGAGCAGCAAATTCTTCCTTACAAAAGCTCATTATCCACGTGTTATATCCTCCAGTTCTTGAGGGAGGATTTTGCCTTAATTCTTCAGCTGGTTCATGTGTAGAGCACAGTCTCAGAGCAACAAAAGCCTTCTGGCAATACCAGATTTGATAAACACACCTTACTATCAGGGCATAGGTCAGCTACGTTAAAACATTAGACTAAAGCTCTATGCACCACTGTATTCAAATTAAGGGGCGAATTTTTCATCTGAGTGCAGTGACATAAATGCAGAGGAAATCTGACATGAACAGAATGAGTTCAGCTTTACAGCAGGAAGCTGAGGGCAAAGTGGGGCCCAGCAGGTGCTGGGCAGTTCATGGCTGCAGTTTTTTGTCTCCACTGGAGGTCCCTGCAGTGAACACAAATCATTCTCCTCCCCAGGACAGGGGAAATGAGACCAAGAAGAAAAGCTAACTGCGTTATACAATGACATCCCTCTAACAGCCACCTTCTGTCCTCATCCTTCCTCTGCCCACTGCAATCAAAGAAATCTCTGTCAAAACACAAGAATGGCTTCAGTACTTGACCATATGGTATGTGATCTCAGTTTGTGATTTTGGAAACAACACAGTGCTCCTTGAGGAACATCCCAAGGAAGCCAGCTAGCAGAGGCCTCTCACCAGTGCAGATCTCTCACTCACACAGGGCTCCAAGTGCTCAAACCTGGCACCAGAGCTAAAGCCCTCCCACACTCCAGGGAAGCTTCAGCCCTGGTACTGAAGCGTCTGTGGCTGGGCTCTCCCCATACCTCGATAGCCTGGTGTCCCTGGGGGAGGATGGTCCCTTGGCTGGGATTGATTGTAAACTCCCTTGGCTCCACATAAAAATGAATTCCCTCTGTCCAGGACGGGTCACTGTTGCTGCGTATCTGATCAAAGACATTCACAGCAGGCTGCATGCCATCCTTCGACATGCGGAGCTTGAACGTCACGGGCACCGGGGAGGTGTTAGTCAGGCGACAGCTCTGGGTGTAGGGAAAGCCTAGGAAAGGACACAAATATCCATTTAGGCACCAATTATGGCATGACTCCTGGTGTGAATATCCTGGTAGGATGAAAGTGTCACTGGAGTTTAGCTCTTTATTGTCTGAACTACAGCTCACCGAGCAGCTGCAGGAGGAATTGATCATCACTTAGTTCCCTTTGACACTGATTCCAGACTGCAGCCTTGAAAATGCCGACTCTTAGCCCTGCTGAACACTGCAAGCCTCTCTCTTTGTGATGGGGAGGAGTGTGGAGTTGTGTTATTTTATGTTCTAGTTGCGTTTTGGTTGTACAGGTCAGTTCTCTCTGTTTTTGTTCAAATTTTATATATGGTATGTTCTATGTACCCTCCTCCCCTCTTCCCAGTTCGTGCTGCCCATCCCTTCCCGCCTTTCCAGCCATGCCCATCACCAAGCCACTCCCAATCACCCCACCAAACCACCCCCTTATCCCCTCCCAGGAGCCCTGCCAATCATCCGGCACCCCACCCCGACATCCAGAACCTTCCATCCAGGGCGTTGGGTGATTGGGTGAAGGTTCAGGGCCCCTCCCACTCTCTTACCCCATTGGCCCCTCTCTCCAGACCCCTCCCCAGGGAACCACCCACAACCCTCTCCCATTGGTCCAAGTTTTCCCCACCTCCTGCCCTATATAATCCCTTGCAAAGCTCTGTCCCATTGCCTTTTTCGGCTGGCATAGTGCTGTGTGTTAGGATCGTGGTGCGTCTTCCCCTCACCCTGAGGGAGAATAAAAGGATCTGTTGCTCCCGGAGAAGGACGCTTCCTGTCATCTCTGTCCGCGTGTGGTTTTTGCCGCCTTTCGCCCAGGCACCAAGACCCCATCCCGAGCTCTCTGAAACCCCCGACGTTGGCCCAGAGTAGGGCTCGGGGAACCTGCTCGCTCCCTCCAGAGCTAGAGCCAGCCAGGATTGAACACCTTTCAGGAGGCAATGTGGCAGCGGAGCTCCCTCAGCTGCCCCAAACCAGCATTAGTTATTTCTCAGTGGTGAGTGTGCACCCAGACCGAGCATTTACTCTGAGAATTCAGGCTGTAAAATTCCCTGTTACGGCTGCCAACACTCCCACCCTTTTCAAGATCTATAAACAGTGAATCGTCATTGAGAAGAAGCTACAGCAAAACAAAGTGAGGATGCAGTCAGGAACTAGAACATGATGCAAAGCACCCTAATGCAGTTTCCCTCTGCAGGATCCTTAAGGCAGCTCTTGGTTTGGGCCAAACAGACTGAGCACTTGACAGCTCAGAGCCCACTCAGCTGGAGGCAAACCCGAGCCTTGCTTTGAGATTAGCAATTAGGAACCATGTCCCACCTCACCCAACAAACGGGGACATCACACCTGTGCTGCTCACTGTGATTGCTGCCTGCAAGGGCTTACCCCACTCTAGCTCTGAGATTTGCTTTCCATACAGAAAGTCAGATCCAGCCAGGCACGGTGGGGATGTCCTGCAGAGCCCGGACAGCAGCCACAACCTGCTCTGCAGTGGACATCTGGCTGGGCTGGCCAGCCCTGTGGGGAGGAGGCTTCTCCCTGGGCCTGCTCACCCAGAGTCATTGGAACACAGATGGGGAGAAACAACAAGTGTAGGTACAGCCCAAAGCTTCTCTGTGCCCATCAACAGTGACCACTGCCAGCTCCAGCAGTGACTCCAGCAGGGAGGCAAGAGAGGCACAAAAAGGACAAACACAGATGTCAAAACCTCAAATGAGACTGAGGTCACCACATGCAGACAGCAATCAACAGTTTAAAAGAAGCAAAGATACAACAGCTGCCTTCAGCTGAAGAGACCTTAGGAATGAAATCGGACTAAGCAGGATGAATCTCCTGTTTCAGAACCATATTTCTACCTGTTGCCTTTCTTGTTTCATTTATTCAAAAGGCAACTTGACAAGTGTCTCTGTGGTGATGCAGGGTGAGGAAGAAGCAGCTCAGGAAAAGCAATTACTTTTCTTAAAATGTTAACGAACTTCATTGTTATGGGTTTAGGCTTCTTAGTGAATGTTCCCCTTGGGCTGGGAAGGGGGATGGGGGTTTTGGGGGGTTTTGGCTCCTGGGGTGGGCTTCTCCATTCGGGGATTTTGGAGTTGTGTGATGCCGTGGGCGGCTGTGAGGCCGGACCTGAGGTTCGGCAGGGAGCAGAGCTTCCCCTCCTCCCGCTCGGGATCGAAGGTGCTGCTGCTGCTGCGGGAGGTTGTGTGCTTGGCCCCGGGACTGCCCTGGGCTGCGGCTCAGCACTGGGATCCAGCCTGCCTGCCTTCCCCGCTCCTGCCTGCTGCTGCTGGGCAGTGCCGAGATCCCCTCTGCCCGTGAGTTTGCAAAGGAGCATTTCCCATTTTCTTCCTTCCTTCCGCCCGCTGGGAGGGGATCACTGCCCTGCCAGAGCCCACAGCTCCTCCTGCTGTGATCATAACTACACCAAAGGGGAGAAGCACTACTTGGCGGGTGGGAAACATCTGCTCTTGCATTGTTGTCTCTGCTGTCCCGACTTTCTATGCCTTGGTTCTGTTTGATCTCACAATGGCAAAAGGCTACCTGAGGCACCAGCAGCCCTGGAGTTCACACCCTGAAGAGGCTGCTGTGGCAGAACATGAGTGAGGGATGCTTTGATGTTCAAGTGCTCCATTGTGGAACACACAGATCCCTCATGCTGTGTCCCAGCCCAGGGAACACTCACCAAAGGAGATGTCCCCGAAGCTGAGCTCATCCAGGTCGAAGTGTAAAGTCGGTCGAGTGACATTGACCCTGCGATGGCAAGAACAGAGGAGGAAATGGTTTGGTTAAAGGGATTGCAAAGGTCCGGCTGTCGTGGCTCAGCAGAGTAAAACCTGGTGTCAGGGCACTGTGGGGCTCAAACATCCTCTGAAAAGAGCAGCAACAGTTCTACACAGTGGACAGATGAATGCTAGAGAGAAGGAGCAGCTTGTCAGCAGTGCACCAGCTGGCACAGCCAAGAGCAAGAGCTTAAACAGCCAAACAAGGGTGTCCTGCATCTAGCACACCACCTCACCTGTCCTTGAACTCAGCAGACAGACTCCAAAAGTCACCAACTGAAAACCAGCACTTGAAGCTGCACAACATTCACGAGTTTATTTCATGGTTGATGCCAATCAATGCCCACTCTGCCTTCTGGTTAAAAATCAAGGACCAGTGAACTGTGCCTTCTGTTGTATTCACAGGACTGCCACTGGCTCTGCTCTGCACCCTTCAAGAAGAGACACCTGCCCTTGCTCAAGGAGAAAGCTGCTTATGCAGAAACATCCCATGACCAGTTTGGGGGAGGGACAGAGGAGAATCAATTATTTGATGATGAAAGGTTCTCTCTTGATTTCCAAAATAAAAAAGCATCACTTTTCCTCCAAAAACAAAGCCGGTATAATTGTTTCTCTATTATAGGCAAACCTACTCACCACTTTTTTCTTGCTAAGTAGTAACTTTCTTGTTCTTTTTTATCTATCTCCCTTATCTCATTGGTATAATTGACTGCAGATTGCTTTAATTTCTTTACTGCCTTGACCCAGTGCCTCCCAACAGCAGCAGCCCAGCTCCAAAGCTCCAGAGCAGCCAGCATCAGCTCTCCTGCTTACCCTACATGATCCTAGCAGCACATGGCTCAGGCTAACAGGGACAAGCCCTCATGCTGCTGTGGTGCTGAGGACTGAGCTCTGCCTCCCCTGCTATCAGCCCTTCTCCCTTTTGCTGAGCCAGGATTATCTCTTGCCATGGCACCAGGCCATGGGATGACAGCCCTGTCCTTGGGACAGTTCCTGCTGCACAGTTCCCTGTCTCCCACATCAGCCCTCTCCTGACTGTGGAAAGGAGCTCCCAGGGCACTCTCTGCACAGGAGCTGAGAGCACGGCTCGTGCCCCACAGCATGGCTGTGAGAGCTGAGGTGAGGCTGCTGCTGCTGCCCATCTGGGATGGATTATTAACAGAAGTTTTTAAAAACACTGCTGCTGGTGCAGAATCACCCAGGCTGGCCCATCTCCAAAGCCCTGGGGGCCTTGCTGGCTGTTCAGGGGGACATCCCAGAGCAGCTACTGCCCAAAGCTGATCCATCCCACTGCCTGCCATGGCCCAAGGCAGAGGGAGATCCCTGCAGGGAGGAGTCATTCCAGCTCCTGGGTACACACAGGGCAGGAGGCATCCTCACACTAAGGCAATGCCAGGATCAGAGCAGAGATTGAGATCTCAGGAAAACACCTTTTTTCTCTGCTCAGCCCCAAAATGAGGAAGGTGTCCCAGATGTGCCCACCAAGCTCCCAGAGTCCTTACTTGATGGTCAGGATTGCAGGCACAGGAGATCCAGCCACACTGAACTGAAATTCTTCCTCAAACACCCCCAGCATGGTGGTATTGAAGGAGATCTGAATAGTCTGGATCCCACCTGGTGCAATGATGCCCTCCTCAGGTGCAAACTTGAAGCAGAAGCCCATGTTTGCAGTTGAAGGGATATAGGTGAAGGGAGCATCAAGAGCTCCTTGGTTAATCAGCTTCACCTGCAACAGCAAGAAAGCAAAATGGAAATACACATGGAATCGTCCCTTCTTGTGAGTTATTTTCTAATGATGCAATTAACACCCAGAAAAGGCAGATGGTGCTTTGTGCTGCTGAATGGCAGAAGTTAAAATATACAATGGGACAAGGTCTGCCTTTGGGTTTTCATGCAAAGCCGTGGTAACTCCACATAACTGCAGTCACCCTGGGGTTATCCCATGGACACAGAGCAGTCACCTCTGGTCAGCACCACCAAGCTCATTCAGACCTGGCCCTGAGAGCAACGTGGGGTGACTGCAGCTGCGTAGTGAATCACCACAGCGCTGCTGCTGCCCCAGCGAGCACAGCTCCAACAGTACCATCTACTCATTCACCTCTTCTCATACCATGAAAACAATACATTGATTAGGAGGCATCAACATCTAAATGTATAGACAGCACCATCTTTTGGTAAGAAAAATCAGTGTGTCTTTCCCTTCTCCAGCCAGGCTTTTGAAAGTGTCTGGCATGAGGTAGTGCCTCATTTTCTACCTCTTTCAGTTGCTCTCTCCTGATTTTTTTTGCAAACTTGACACTATTGGGGGAAGGCAAATAGGTAGAAAAATCCTTTGCTTTATTCCCAGGAACATGTTTCTCTTTCTAGAGCCTGAAATGCACCAAGGCTGAAGTATGGTGAGGGATTGGGCAGCAAGGGAAAGAGCTCCCAAGCTCTTTGCAAGAGCCAGCACTGAGCCAGGAGGCTGGATGGCTTTTCTGTGGCTTCCAGGAATGAGCAGCAGACACTTGACTGGAAGCTGTTTGCAGTGGACTGAGGCCCAAACACAGCCAGTTTGTTCCAGCTGCTTCTCAACAGCCCAGTACAAAGGTGCCTTGTGTCTGGCACTGCCACAAAAGCCTCTGAACGTGCAGCTGTCTGACCCCCTGTTGCTCTCATGTGCCAAGGGGTTGTTCTGCAGGAAGCCTCCCAGCTGATCCCTAAGGAAGGCTGCCCAAAAGCAGGGACTGGGGCTTCATGAACCACAGACACACCTTTCTGACCCCCCCAGATTTGACCACTACATCAAATATTCCCTGCTCACAACTGCCCAGGTTGGCAGGAATTCCACAGCTCCACCAGGCTTGCTGCTGCCTCAGGAGCCATCAGGATCCATCCCAAGCCCTGCTGCTCACCTCATAGACGTGGAGGGTGTTGACAAGGATGTTCCCAAGGTTAAGTGAAGGAGAGCTGAATTCAAGCAAGGGTCCTTGGCCTTTCCCTCTGAGGCGCAGGGGCAGCCTGCTCTCACGGCCTGGGGAGAGATGTCCATTTCAGTACAGTAATTCCCTCTGTTACACTGCATTTTCCAGGCTGCCTCAGTGCTAGTCCCTGACTCTGAGCTGGATGCAACCAGCTCCTGATGCTGCAGGAGAAGTTATGGACCCTTCTCTTCCCTCAGGAGACATCCCTTGGGGCTGACTTGCAATTTCTAACCCATTCCTTGGGCTGGTTTCCAATTTTAGCCACCAGTTTGCTGAGTTTAAAACATCTCTGATGTAGTGACAGGCCAAGGAGCAATGGGTAGAAATGAAGGAAAGGAAAATTAGGTTAGATATTAAGAAGAATTATTTCACTGTGAGGGTGAGAATTATTTTACTGTGAGACACTGGAGCAGGTTCTCCAGGGAGGATGTGAAGGTTCCAGCCCCAAAAGTGTTCAAAGCCAAGCTGGATGGGGCTTGGAGTTACCTGGTTTAGGGGGAGGTGTCCCTGCCCATGGCAGGGGCCTTGGGACTAGATGATCTTTAAGGTCTGTTCCATCCTTACCATACTGTCATTCTGTGGTTTCCTTCCCATGCACTTTGAGGAGCTCTGAAATCCATTCAGTGAAGGCACAAAGCTCATCAAGAGTTTGGCAATTGCCAAACCACCTTGCCCAGCAGCACACGACTTTGTTACCAAAATCCTCAACTTCTGGCACTCAGCATTGTGTTCTACTTCCACAGACTGAGTTGCAAGGTGACAATTCCCACACAGGGACAGAAGCAGGTGCTGGCCAAGGGTGCTCCTTCTACAAACACCCTGGGCTCAGCGGGGCTCAGCCACTCTGGTCTGGTGGTGTCCGGGCAGTGGGAGTGATCCAGGGTCAGGGAGCCCATTTCTAACTCAGCTCCCACCACCTGATGATGGATCTGTGTCAAATGGACCCATCCTGGAGGTCAGTGGCCTAGAGGGGCTCAGTGCTTGTTCACTAAAGCTGTTGTGCTCTGCAGCTCTTTGGCCTTTGAGGAAATGCTGGCAAAGCCATGACAGGAAAACCTCACCCTGCACTGCCCGGGTTGTTCTGGGATCAGTAACCCAGACACAGGATTCTGAGCCCTGGCCTTGCACAGGAGACTCCCTGGAAGCTGCAGGGCCAGTGGGGATGTGCCAGCACTGCCCTGCTGACCAGGGACTCTTCCCAGCAGTTACAGGGGAGCCCAGTGGGCTCAGGCTTGTACCATGGCTGCACTGTGGCTCAGAGCAGGAGGGGAAAGGAGCTGTACCTGAGATGTTGCAGTAAGCCACACTTTGGTACTCCAGTGCTTCCAGGGGTTTGAAGGTCACCTTGATCTCGGCCGAACAATTTGGCCCAATTTCTCCCTCCTAAAACACAAAGAGACAGCAAAACATTTATCTTCCAACTGCACATTTCTTGTTTTCGACCACAGTCCTGTAAGCCTTTATTTAGAGCATCAGTGATGAGTGAACAACACAAAGAGCCCAAGGAAGCACTCCAAAGCCAGCTCAGCACACCCCAGGAAGCTCTCAATGCTCAGCTGATCAGCTCCCACTCTCCACAATGTTCCTACTGCTCTGACACAAGCTCTTGGTCACCTCATGCTGCTGTCACCTACAGTGGGATGCAACTGCCACTGTGCACTGGTGGCTCTTGGCCTTAGATGGGCCATAGGAGTAGCCAAGGAGAGAACATGATCCCCTTCCTTGAAATACAAGTGTTAGTTAACCTGTTTTGGAAGAATGCAGAGGTTGGGATTATTCTGGGGTTTACTCCAAGATGAGGAGGGATTTTGCACTGTGCAGACACCAGGCATTCATCATCTCTCACAATGCCAGCACTCAGAATCAGGGCTCGGGTTGGTGGGAGGACGTGGCAGTTTGCTTGCACAAACAGAAAAGGAAAAGGTTTTCTGCCCCTGTGTGCAAGAGAACTCAAAAGGCCCATTTAAACCTTCCACCCTTGTGTCCAGGCTCTCAGATGACACTGGAAGGGACACTCAGAAATAATGCAAGGTGTGGTTACAGGAGGGGATTGGCATTTCTGTGATTAACCTTGGGCTGAATTTGGCCTCCAGCGAACCATTGCAAGCTTGAGGTCAGTATGTGAACTGGCAGAGCTCCAACAGCCTCTGCTGAGCCCCACGCACCACGTGTCAGAGGAGCCCCTGCCTACAAGAACTGCTCCCCGTGGACACTGCAAGGACAGCACAGAGCACCCTTGAGCTCAAGCTCTGGCAGCAGAGCTCGCCTTTGTCAGGCTCCCAGCCCTGCCTTGAGGCTGCAGGGCAGAAATGCTTCCAGCAGGGAGCTCTGCAGCCGCGCCAGAAACTCCATGTCCTCCCTCCCAGCACTTCCAGCCAGCTGAGGATCCGCGGAGTGCCCGCATCTGGGGGGAAGGGGGCCGGGGAGAGGGTGGGTGGGAGGAGGAAGAGGAGGAGGAGGAGGAAAATGAGGTTCTCAGCTATCACTTACCATTGGCTCAATGGAAAAAACATCACTGGAGAACAGCAGGGGGTCTTGTTGCACCTTTGCCATCTCCTCCTGGACCATGTTCCTCAGGACGGCAGGGCGATCTTCATAAAAGCCCGTCACCTTTTGTATTTTTATCATCTCCTTGAAGTTTTCCGCCCACACCTCATTTGGCGGGTACAGCAAACGACACTGCCTGCAGCCACAGGGAGAGACAAGGCCAGCAGATCGTTTAATAAACCACGTATTTGCAGAGGGAAGTGTGAGTGCAGGAGGGCAAAGCACTTGGGGAGGAGCAGCAGCAGCTCCCCAGCAAGGGCTGGCCCCAAGCCATGAGGGTCCCACATGGATCAGAGGATAACTTGCTGTTCACTGGCACAGCAGGTAGTTTTACTCCACACTTGTGAGCTCAGGAGAGGTTTCCAAAGCCAGCATCCCTCAAGAGAACCCCCTGGCTCAAAGCCTCTGCCAAAACTGAGGGAGAATCCACCTGACATCTCAGCTGGCTTTTCCTACTACTCAGTGCTCAGGGGAGGCAGATAAAGATCATGGAGCACCCACTGCAGGACTTCCCTGGGTTGCAGCTACATGTTACCAGCATCACTCTTTGTTTCTGCCATTTTGGACCTGCCCTGCTCCCTACTCTGCCTTTCACAAGAGCATCCCAGAGCACTTCCAAAGGAAATGGATGAATTCAGGCACCGAATCCCTTCAGTGGCATTCAAGGTTTTATATGCAATATGCATGAAAACAGAGGCTCTGAGAGGGGAAGGGACTTTGTTGTGCAGGAGAGAACAGCAAACTCCTGGAGAGGACTTTTCATGATCTAGAGCTTTTTGGGTCCCATCCCAGTATATGGTAGTAAATATCCTTATAGGGAAAGGATCCTGCACTATAGTTCTCAATATTCAGTGAAACAAGGACAGGCATCAACAAAACTTCCACTCTGGACTTCTGGAGGGCAGATTCAGCCTGTTCAAGAGACTGATTTGGAGAGTACCTTGGGAAACAGCCCTTAAAAACAAAGGAGTCCAGGAAGAATGGACATACTTCAAGAAAGAAGTCTTGAAGGCACAGGAACAGACTGTCCCTGTGTGCTGAAAGATGAGCTGACGGGGAAGACAACCAGCCTGGGTGAGCAAGGAGCTTTTGAAGGAACTAAGGGAGAAAAAGAGGGTGTATCACCTTTGGAAAGAGGGGCTGGCAACTCAGGAAATGTTTAAGGATGTTGCCAGGTCATGTAGGAAGAAGATTAGAGAGACAAAAGCCCAATTAGAACCTGAGGAAATCCAGTCCTTGCAACCAACCTTTCCTTCCCAAAATGCCACGGTTGGAGTATAAATGGAACTGGAATGCTCAGTGCTGAGCTCCTGAAGCCCAGGGACACACACCCTAGGGCCAGGGATGGTTTACTTGGCCTAAACCATTCAAAAGCACCAACACCCCCCTGAGGCCACACATCAGTTTCAGTCTTGGGCCATGTCTCTCACTGAAATGTGTCTTTCAAACCAACCTCCTCTTCTCTTTATTGTCATCTTCCTCAGTAGGAAAAGTCTTCCACTGGAAGTGAGCTGTGATGTTACTCCTGTTTTCAATGAACATGGTTTTGTGGTTTGTCATGGTGATGAAAGTCTTCTCAACCTCCACAGAATATGTGCTCAACCCAACGTTGAGATCTACAGCTTCTCCATGGAGGTTCGTGTGGATACTTTCTTCACCTGGAACAAAGCAAAGGGGAGTCTTTGCTCAGCTCACTGGCTGATGGAAGCACAAGGAACAGCTGGCTGATGGAAGCAAACCACAGGTCACAGAAGAACGTTTCAGTTTTTAGCTGAATGAGCAGTTCCATGGATCAGTACATTTATCATATCCTGACAGCTCTGGGTGTACAGAGTGAGGATGTCCTGGGCAGATGCTTAAACACCTTATTTCTCAGTGTGTTTGTAGAGATTTGGCCCCAAGGTGACAGTATGTGCAGTGAGATTTGTCAATGTGCTCTGGTGACCCACTTTGATCACCGGGATTTCTGCATCAAAGTCCTTCAGGTGATGCTGAGGAGCCCTGCTCAGTCCTGGCCTGCCCAGGAGACTCCTGTCTCTCCTGATCCCTTGGATCCCTGGTTACTGAGCAGCAAATACACCTGGGGGCATGTGGGCAGCAAAAGGAGGCCCAGAGGAACAAGGGAAGTGACAGCCCACAGCAGGAGGGGACACAGGTGAGGAAACACAACCAGCCTGGCTCTGCAATGGCAAACCACTACAAAATGAACACCATGAAAATCATCATCATCTCCCTGTCTAAACCCACAGCCACATCAGTCTTGAAATATTTTATATTGTTCTGATCTCAAAAACCAAGCTGGAGCATTGCAAATTAAATAAAAAAGGGACAAAGGAAAGATTAATAAGTACAGAGCAGCTCCTATATGAAGACTGAATGGGATTCCTCAGTCTAGAAATCAAATGGGAGATAGATGTGAGAGGTTTGCAAGAGCATGAACGGTCTGGGAAATGGGGACAGGGAAAAACTTGTCTTGATTTGTCACCAAACAGGAACTTGAGGGCCTGAAAATGTTATTAGACAGAAACTACATATATGTGTAAGGGCAACATAGAAAAAGGGTCTGTGACAAGCCAATGGAGAAGCAGCATATGGCATAGGGGTGTGCAAGAAATACATTGCATTGGAGAGTCTTATGGAGACCTCACATACAGCACTGCCCAGGGATAAAATAAAACTTCATCCAGGCATAGCCACATGGTAGTGGAGAATCAGGGATCCTCCTTCCTCCACTCAGCAACTCCCAACAAAAATCTTAGCCCTGTTAGAGGGGATGCACTTTATCAACCCCCTAAACACCAAGGAGTTCTCAGTTTTCTCTGGGGTAAAGCTGAATGGTGAGGGACCTCTAGAGGGAATGGAGGAGGATGGGACAACAGGGAGTGATGGTGCAGAACTGTCCCGTGCCCCATGCAGGGCCCAGCACTCACCTGTGTTGTAGCACACTACCAGGGACCCATAATGGTCCCCAGTCGTCAGTGCGTGGAATCCCACTGTCACCTGCATGCTGTCACCAGCGCCCAGAGTTCCCGTGGCCGGAACCACAGAGAAAGGACTGCAACACAGAGAGACGGATCAGGGCTGGGGGGACACCTGGGGATGAGATTCCTTCTGCAGTGCAGCTCACTTGGGCAAGCAGGGAGCAAACAAACCACAGTCAGCAGAAAGACGACAGGACCAGAAACAGCCACTGACCCACTTCTGAGGAGATCCGGCCCTCAAAGGATCCTGTGGGTAAAATTACCTCATCTCCCCCATACGCTGCATCCAGCCCTCTGCAATGAGACTCAAGGGTCTGACTGCCAGCAATCCCATCAGAGAATGGTTTGTGAAAAGCACAGAGAGGGTTCAGAGCTACCTGCATGCACAACTTGACACTGACTGCCTCAGGAATTTCTCTTTTCCTATAAACTTCATCTCAAGAGATGCAAATGTCAGGGCACTGCCTGTCCTGTGAGATTACAGCCTGGAATCAGATGGGGAGAAGGAACGTTTCCTTAAAGACCAAATAATAGATACTGTTGAATTTGCAGTGTGGTTCTTTGGTTTATTTTACCTTGAAAATGTCCTGATTTAGCCTAAAATAGGCACATTTTACCAGCATTTCAATGAAACCTGCTCTAAGAAAAGGAGCAGTCAAAACTCTGAAAGAGTGCAAATGTAGATTAGAGCAATACAGTGGCATGGAAACCCAAAAGGAGGATGCCATTTACAGTCTGAAGGATCCAATCCCAGCTAAATGAAGCACCATTAGCAGGAGCACATCAAGGAATCAGAACAGGAGGTTTCTGTGTATTTACTAGCAATACAATCTGGGACTCTGGGTTGTCATCCAGACTGGTAATTGTTTGCTTGGCCCAAAGAGAAACTCTGTGCAATGTGTTTGGAAATAATTATGCAAATGCGTTGGCGCACTTTGGATTTAACAGGAGCAATCAGGATTGGTCACCAGGTAAAGAGCTCTTGTCTGACAAACACAAGACTCCATGCTTTGATGCTCAGGGACAGCTCAGGTGAAATGTGCTTCTGCCCAGCAGCTGCTGGGCTTTGTGCTCTTCTACAGCCCCACTGAATAAAAGTTCCTGGCCTTGGGGCTTTGCTGGTGGTCAATCTGTCACTTAAAAGTGTGTTCTGGGGAGTTTGGTGATGAATGCATCACACACCAAAATAAAGAGAACATCTGGCAAGCTGAACTTTATTCTATGTCAGTTGCTTCAGGTTCTGCTCATTAAGGATCTATTGCTGCAATGATGGGCCTGGCCTGTTCCCACTACCACTAGTGAGAACATCACTACTGGCTGATGGAGAAGCCTTGGGCCAGCAATGTTTATGTGCTGGACATGAGACTTTGGAGGGAGGGGAGGAAAGACAAGGCCCCACCATTCCCAGAGCCAGATTAGTGTACGTGCTCCTGCATCTACCCTGGGGGTGATGCCAGGACTGCTGCAGGTCTCTGCTGGGGCTTGGGGCAATCAGTGCCTGGTGTGGGCAAGGCACAGGATTTTTTCTTATTATTTTGCCAGGGATTTCACCAGGACAGAGAAGCTGCCAGTTAAGGGAATCCCTGGCCACACTTCAGCACTACATTCCATTCCATTCCATTCCATTCCATTCCATTCCATTCCATTCCATCCCATTCCCACTGCTGCCCCATGTTACATGCTCATGCCCTCAGATGGCAGGATGGGAATAACACTCCTGGGGGTGACCTCAGGGGTTGTCTGAGAAAGAAGGTATCTTCTTATTTTTAAATTATCAGGAGAAGAGGATCCAGCCACGTCCAGGACTCAGTTTCAGGACTGAAAAACTGAGTGCCAATCAGCCCCTGCATCTCCTACATCCCACCCCGGGCTGTACCCAGCAGACTCCTCTTCTGTAGCAGTCATCTCTCACACAGACCTGTCTCTCCAAGATTGAAGGACTCAAGCTCTACAGCTAAACTTAAATCCTCTGAATTTCAGCCAATATCACAAAGCTGTTTCCTGAGCCCACAGATAGAAGAGCTGTGAAGGAGACATCCCTGACACTCTAATAACCAAATGAAAACCACTGCCAAGAGATGGGGCTGGCAGGCTAAATTTTGGCCTTTTATCTGTAAATTGTGAGCAGTTCCTTAAGACAGTTCTCATCCTGTTAGATGTGCTCTTTCAATGAATCACTACGGCACCCAACAGGCAGAAAAGATAACGTATGGAGGGGGTTTTAATAGGTTGTTTTTTTCTGCTTTATAACTAGGTCAATTTATATGTTTGCTTTCTTATATGGCATCTAAAGACCGGTCCAGACCTCCCTTGTCTGGGGATTGCAAGGTGCATTGCTCTATGGCACCTTGCAATCCCCAGACACTGGTCTTGCTTTGCGCAGTGTGTCTGTTCAGATGATTCCCAGAGTCCTCTCCAGCAGAAGTTATTCTATACTTTCCTAAATCAGCCCAACTGCCTTTCACATATTCCCTAAATGTCTCCCATTTCCTATGCACCTGTGCATGTACCTATGGGCATGTGGCATATTGACAGGCATTAGAGAGCTCGACCTTCATGAAAGTTCCCAATGAAGAATTTATGATCTTTTGGCAAACAAACCAAAATGAAAAAATGGCAGAAACACAGCAACTTCAGAGTATTAAAAAAATATCTCAATGAAGGGGGCACAACCTTATTCAGAGATTTAAATAATTTGTTTGAAATTTCAAACTGGCTTTCAAAGGTTCATCATGGAACAGAAGAGATGACTGATGCCCTCAGCTGACAAGGGAAATCAGGTCACCTTTAAGTAACAGGAACTGCACCGGCTGCCTGCAGCACAGCTCAGGTTGGGCATCTGAAGCTGAGATCACCGGAAAGCCACGTGCCTGTGGCCGCCCAGAGAATGGGTCTCTTTGGCTGACAGTGGTGAGTAAGCATTTCAGAAAATGCTTCTGCTCAGGAGGGTGCAAGCCAGGAAATCAGGGACAGAGAAAGCTCAAAGGCTGCATCCTGCTAAGAATACTGAAAGCAAGAGCAGATGCCATCCATCCTGCCCATTTCCAGCCAGGCTGCAGGGCAGCAGCTGCCATGCTCTCCTTCCTGTTGTTGCTCTTTCCCAACTCTGTTAATCACCCAAGGATGATATCCTTTGCACAAGAATGGATGAGCTGCCTCACCTCTGGGTGCTCAGCTGGTAATGAGCTTCCAGTTTACCAGTGTTTCGAACCAGCAGAGTCTTCTGGGTGCTGTACTTGACTGGACACTTGGAGAAGTCCAGCTGGTCAGGGACATCCAGGACAGCTCGGGCAGCAATGGCCCGAATTGGCACAACTATCCTTTCCTTTGCAGTCATGCAGACGATCTCGTTGGAATAATCCTACAGGAAAAGAAACTAGCTCACAGGTCTTCCTGCAGGTTGTGCCTGCCCTACATGAGCTCTTTCAGGGAGGTGACCAAGTCCCCTGCAGCTCACCAACCTCCTGATGACTAAGGGCACCTAGAGCCCAGTGTGCCTGTGCCAGGCTGGGCTCATGGGCACAGCACATCCCCTGCCCTGGCCCTGCAGCTGTATCATGGTCAGCTGTGCTCTGGGACAGCACAGCTGCAAGGCTGGAGAACAGAGGGTGTGAAAAAGCACTGTCTCTGCTCCAGCCCAGGGTGAGGCAGGGAAGCTGTTGCCAGTCAGGAAGGAGGAAAGCTCTCCAACCCCTTTGTTCCTCTAGTGTTTTCCATAACAATTAAACCCCTTCCACTGTACCTAGAGATGGCCAAACATCTATCAACACCCCTCTGTCATTTTCATACTGTTCCCTGTGCATCTTGCCTTGGGGATGCTCAGGAATGCTCAGGAATGTGCAGGGAGGGGAAGCAGAGTCTGTCAAGCCTGGATGCAGTGCCTGACAGCACGTGCCAAGCTGTGAGTGGTGGCAGGCTGCCTGCCCACAGCCTGGAGCCAAGCTCACAGCATGGAATGGGCTGTACCCAGGGTGCAGGGAACAGTGATTTTGGAGATAATTCTGTTTGGGCTTGTCCAGCCTCACCTTGGTCTCATCAGGAGTGAAGCAGATGCGCACACGGGCAGTCGCGAACGGTGGCACGATATGGTACGCATCACTGGGGCACGCCAGCTGGAAATAAGGTGAGCTCTCCATGCAGACCTTCACCATCTGAGGAATCTGCAGGAAAGAGGTGAAATGATGATTTTGCCACTTGTGGAAACAGGACGAGAGGACACCTGTCCATGCCCTGGTGACATCCCTCCCTGGCCCCTTTTCCAAAGGACCTTCAGCTGTGGGAGTACAGGCACATAATTCACAAGGGTGAACTTGAAGCCCTTCTCACTGGGTCCAGCATTTTGGCCAGGGGCAGTAGGGCAGTGCCTGGTGGGAAGGAAGGGCCAAGCAGGTCAGCACCAGCAGGATGGAGACAGAGCACCTGAACCAAGTCATCTGCATATTCAACAAGGCCAAAAAACCTGCTGGCTCCTGCCTGCACACAGCCATGCAGTCGTGTTCCAGAGGAGAAATGTGCTGCCTGAAGGTAAAACAGCACATTATCCTGGGGGAAGGAAGAAATCCCTTCTAGCAGATCAGGTTTGCCTAGGGACATTGTGGGGATAGAGTCATACAGGCAGAGCAGCAAGTGAGGAGACCAAACACTGTTGCCTTACTGGGAATAAAAGCAAACCTAAAAAGCAAAAGAAGGAACACAGCAAGATAATCCCTTGTGGGTCTCAGATTCAGTCAAAGAGAGAAACGGAGAGTTTCTAACCAGGCAGAAGCCTGGGAAAGAGTTGGAAAAGAATGTAAATAATCTTTTATCTCTTATTTGTTCACATTGTTTATAGTTAAGTTCTATCACTGTGCATCAAGCACTCTGAACCAGTGGTGCAGTTGTTTTCATTTCAGGACCAATGGAGTTGGTCTGCACGAAGCTCTGTAGTAAAGAGCAATGCATTTTGAATAAATCGGAGTTTTACCATCACAGTCTTCTGAATCAGAGTCTCTTCATTCCCATCCTGGCTCAACAGCATTATCTGGTGACCCCGACGTGATATTGCACCTTACCCTGAAGGGTCAGGGTCTGGTGAACCTCTCCTGGCATCTCCCTTTGGCGTGGTTCCACACCAACAGCCTGGAGGCTGTGCTCAGGCACCTTTGCTTTCTTAAAGAAAGGTAACGCTGAAACCGCATGCCTTCTGGAGAAGGCTTGGTCCTGTTTGGGACTGCGGGCCGGCTCTTAGAGGCCGGAACTGCGTGGGACGGGTTTTCCCTGAAATAGCAGACTGTTGGACTCTTGAAGTTGACATCTGCTACGGAAAGGTCTCCTAACAATGGGAAACCAGCTGTCTCCAGTCGAGCGAGCAGTCATGACTGCCTGGTGAGCCTGCATCCCTCTTGTGGGAGCTTGGCTCTCTGATGAAGACCTGGACAGACTCTTGGGTTGGGCTCAGGACTGGGAATTTTCTGCAAATCCTAGGTCCCCCTTTGATCATAATGCCTGGCTCGACTTGGGATGCTGTCTCACAACACAAATGTGCAAAGGGGATGTTATAGTGTCCGAATTGGCTCCAATCTGGGCGGGCATCGACAGAGCCGTGGACACTGGCAGCGGTTCTGACCTGATTCCGGACACAGACCACACGGCAGCCTGTGCGACTGGCTGTGCAGGCTCACCCTGCCTAGAGAGCGGTGTCGGTGACATCATCCACCCTTCAGGAGGCAGCTGAGGTGCCTTTCCCACCGCTATCAACTTCAGCACACCTGGCATTGCATGGACTGCTCGGGGCAGCCCCAGACTGGCAGGAGCCACCACCGCCAGCAGCCGTGCAACTCCCCGCTTTTTGGACTGCACCTGCAGGGGGGCTGGTGCTGCCCTGGCATGCGATCCAGCGAGGGTTGCCCCCACCCTGACTCCTTCACTGATGGAGCCTGTGCAGACGCCACTGCAGCCTTTGGTCCATCCCCTGGCATGCCCACCTGTAAAGACGTTTATTTTGTATTCCACGGATGGATACAAGCGAGATCTCTGTGGTTGCTCTTGGGGGATCAGGTTTATTCAGGATGCAGAAAGGCCCTGCCTCGAGCTGCTAGACACAGCACGTGGCTGGGCCTGAGGTGATGGGGGAGGGGAGAGACAAAGAGGGGAGCAGGGACTCCCGGAGGACGCTCCAGGAGGAGAGGGGAAGATCCAAGAGAGCATCCGGCCCCCCAGAGACCCTTTATCAAGTGGGGCTCCAAGGTGGTCTGGAACAGGACCTGGGCCAATGGGGTCACAGGCACCTGATGGTTCAGGGGAGGGTTACAGGTGGGGGTGAACCATACATTCTGGGGGGTGAGATGGAACAGTCCATTTGGCTTTTGGACCCCTCTGTAAGTGAGGGTTATTGTCCAGCCAGTAGGGGGCGTTATATTCGTCCTGGCTGTACTATTGTGGTTCTTAATCATATTTATCCACCCTTCCCAACACCCACCACCACCTGCAGGGGTTTTGACTGTGCTGGTGGGACAGGCTTTGTGTCCCGGTCCGCCCCTCTGCTTGCCATGTGGACCAGCTGATTTTGTTTTCTTTAAGATGCTGGCATCAGCCATGCAGCAGAATGTCTGGGGCGGGACCCCCATGTTGTTTTCTACCCTCCCTGCCATGGGACTCACTCCCGTGCCAGGGGCGGCGCCTGCCTTCCATGCCACGCCTGCCATGGCGCCACCCCTGCTTACAGCAGGCTTCACATCCTGCCCACCATTGCTCTAGAAGCAGCAGCAGCAGCCTCCATCCACCCCGGGATGGCCAGTGTCACTCCCGGGAGAAACTGCCACAGCCGTGGCGCTGCCTACTGCGGCTCTGGTACCCGTGCTGCCTGCTGCGTTCCAGCTGCCAGCGCTGGGAATGCCGCCACCGCCACCGGTGCCAACCTGATCGCCACTGGGGCCGAAGCGCCAAGAGTGTCACCGCCGCTCCCGCCTCAACGCTGAGAGACGCGGCCATGCTGCCCGCACCACTGGGGCTAGCAGTGTGCCACACTGCGGGGCTGATTGCTCCTCCCACGCCGCTCATGGCGAGGGGGTGGTGCCCACAGGGCACAGCGGCTCCTACTGTCGCTCCCCCCAAAGATGACTCCTCAGCAGTGACTCCACCCTGCAATCCAGCGGCCGAGGCCCAGTGCTGGGCAATGAATCCAGTCTGTTTGTTTCAAAGCCTGACTCCAGCCCATCACTCCCTTTGCTCCCTCCCGACTGTACCGAGCTCTGTCCCTCCGAGGCAGAGGTGGCGGGAAGGGGAACTGGCTTGGTCAGCAGCAGCGCCACTGCTGCTGGTCCCAAAGCTGGGAATGAGGGGAATGGGGCCACGGATCAGGGAGCTGTGCAGCAATTGATTGTATTCCACGGCAGCACAGACACTCTGGGACAGCGGAGCAGCCCCTTGTACTGGGCGGACTTGGGTGGTGCTGAGAGCCCTGGAGCCCAGCTGGAATTTTATATTCCCAGGGAACCCCCCCCCTGTTCATGCACCCTGCGTGTTCTGCTCTTGTGGTTCGCAGAGCAGGATGCCGAGAAGCTGTGGAAAAACCCAAGTGGGGTGTGTGGGGGGGGGCAGAAACCCAGAGGAATTGCCGGGTTTCTCGCAGCCTGTTGGGGGTGTGCACTGAAATATAAGGTTGGGAGAGGTCACTCATTTATCAGTGGTTATGCGGTGTTCCAGGGACCCCAGATTCAGGGGCCCCAGGAAATACCAAAGAGAAGCTGTGGGCCGAGCCGGGTGACTCTTGGCTCAGCAGAGAGCCTGGGCTCCCTGTCCCCCTGGCCGGGTTTGGAACGCTTGGCCCTGCCCACGGGGCCAGGTCCCCCGCATTGCCAAGCACCGCTGGGTCCTAGACCTTGATGGCCACAAATCAACCTCAGCCCAAGTCATTGAATTAAGGGCTGTGGCCACGGCATTTCAGAGGTTTCTCAAGTGTTTTGAATTTGGTCAGTTCTGAACTGGGTCAATTTCACTCAATTGTTTTAAAAGCTTGAGGATGCAATTTGGACCTGAGTTCAATTTCATTACTCATGCTGTCCATTGAGGACATGATTGCCTAGAGCCTTGCATGGTTGTTCTATTTAAGTGCACACACCTTGCAAAAGCAATTCTGATGAATGCCAACCAAGGCTTCACCTGCTGCACCTTACTGGCTGGGACAAATCCCAGAGACCTAAAGGTTTTGCAGCTGTGGCAAACAGATGTTATTCATCTTGCCAAATTCAAATTTGGCTGATTTGGGTATGTGCACATGTTTGTTGATACCTTCTTTTCTGTCATGTCACGCTCACACTGGGAAATGGGTTTTGACAAGTTAGACTGCCAGTCCTTTGGCAGTCTGACAATGAGTTGTTACTATCTTAGAGTTGGTGACTGATTCATTGAAAATTTTAAGTTTGGAAGCTCTTTGACTGTTCAGGGCCAACATCCGATGAGGTTTTGAATTATCAACTAATGAACCTCGGAGTTGTGTTTGTCCTCTTCTCTGCAAGGTACCCTGACAAACACTGCCTCCTTCTTTAAATGAAAGGGAGGAAATGTGGGTCTCAGATTCAGTCACAGAGAGAAACGGAGAGTTTCTAACCAGGCAGAAGCCTGGGAAAGAGTTGGAAAAGAACGTAAATAATCTTTTATCTCTTATTTGTTCACATTGTTTATAGTTAAGTTCTATCACTGTGCATCAAGCACTCTGCACCAATGGTGTGGTTGTTTTCACTTCAGGACCAATGGAGTTGGTCTGCATGAAGCTCTGTATAAAAGAGTGATGCATTTTGAATAAATTGGGAGTTTTACTCTCACAGTCTTCTGAATCAGAGTCTCTTCATTCCCGTCCTGCCTCAACAGCGTCAATCCCTAAAACAAGGAGATGGCAAAAGAGAATTTAAATGAGCAGTAAAGCAGCAAGGAAGAATCATAAAACCATGAGAGTGATCAACTTGCCAAAAGGGACGGAAACACAGACAGGTTGTGCCTATCGGCTATGGGCTTCAAAGGAGAAACATGACCAGCACTGACTCACAGTGGTTCCAGTATTAAAAGCCAATCTTGGCTATCCAGGGGCTCTTGCTGTCTGTGCAGACAAGCTGGGCTGCTGGGCATTCCTGCCTGCAGCCAGCAGACCAGCTTCTGGCTCTGGGATACACACACAGAGCAACCATGCAGTTTCTAGCACACAGATATCAACCCCCAAGCACCAAAATGCTCTCAAAAAGTCTAACCCAGATGATTTTGACTCCCTTCTGTCTCTTCCCACCAGCCCACTCTTGGCACAGGGCTCATTTGAGAAAATGTTTCCCTGACTGAAATTTAAATGGTCACCATTTTCCTCTTTACAGTGGAACACAACTGGTGACATTTTTTAACTTTTTCCCTCTCAGCTCTCTTGGGAAACTGCAAAACAATCACAAGTGAAGGTGAAAACCTCCAGGAGTACATGGCTTTGGATGTGCTGCGGTTCTCCAAAGGGAAAGCAGAGCACCACATTGCTTTTGGAAAAGCTGAGTAGAGCTGAATGAAGCTTAGCAGGAGCCTGAACTGGCGCCTAAAGGCCTCCTGCTGCTCTGCTACATAAATCTGATCCAGGGCTGTTTCAGAACACACTTCCTGCAGTGCCAATGCCATTAATGAAAAGTGATTCCAGCATAAAGTGGAGAAGACTCAGCCCCTGAGCTTTGACTGTGAGCTGCACAAAGGGAGCCAAACAGGCTGAGAGAGGCAGAGATTCCACCAGGAACCAGGATTAACCAAGGAGATACAGGATGTGGTATACACTCAAGGCAAAGCTGGAGAGCAGGTAAGAACTGTACAGCCCTCAACATTCCTATCAATCCAGAGTTTTCAAGAGAAGGAAACTCCTTTGGGATAGATACCATTAATGCATGGCCAATATCAGGGGACAATTCCCAGCACAGGAAGATTTCCACCATCTTGCAGAACAAAGGTGCTGAGACATTTTCTTCTGGATGTGCTGCAGCAGATAACTTGCTTTGCTGTACGCTCTGGGAATTACACCACTCTCTTCTTCCAGCACAGTGTTAAAGCCCCAGGTGCCAGCACTTACCTTGTCCTTATTCATGAAGGACACTGCCATTTCAGAGACCTCATGGGGGGCAACGTTTTCAAATACCACCTCTGGTGGGGAAACCCGAAGCAAGCTCTGTTTTGGGGGAACTGGTGACAGCTGGAGAGGCGAGAGAGAGCAGGGAGAGGTTCAGCTGCTGGGAGGAAGGTTCATGAAGGAGAATCTTACACTGACTCCCAGTAAAGTACAGGTTCTGGGTGAGCACGTCTGCCCAGCCCACACTGGGGAAACAGTGGCTCACCCACCTCTGCTCTGAGCTGATCAAGAGCTGCTTGATCAGCTCAGAGCAGGCTCGAGCCAAGCTGCTCTTTTGGCATGTATTTCTCCAGGTTTCCTTCTCCAGAGTGCCAGGCAGCACTTTCCTTAAGCACAGCCCTGTGCCCACTGGGGCACTGACCGAGCACTCATGGAGTAAGTAAACCCCAAGAATTTACATCAGACTCTATAGGAAATAATTTTGGGATGTCCTTTACTCTAAGATGGGGAAACCGAGGCCCACACAATTGAAAATATTTTTTTTGATCTAGAACTTAGACATCAGTAAGAAAAAAAACGTACCAGAGGAGGTGTGAGAGATGAGGTGATATTTGGCTGAGGCCAAAAGGTTATTAAATTAAAGAACAGAGTTTGTTGGTTCTATGTGTTGTTTGTGGTTTGGATTTGTTCAAGGTGGTTTGTTGGCTGTTGCTGTGAGCTGGAAAAAGGACAGAGTTGAAGACCTGACCAAAAGGAAGTAGGGTGAGAGGGAAGGGGAGGCGAGTCTCCTTTACATCTGGCAGCCTGCAAAATCTAAAACCCTGTCAGGGTCCAACATTGTTCCAACCCAAAGCATTTATGCAATTTGTTTTGTTAAATCTGAAGTAATTACTGCAGGTCCTCGGCCTTCAAAGGCCAATGCTGCCACTCTGGAGGGAATCCTATGACCCCGAGCATTTCATGGTGACCACACCAAAGTAAGACGTGGCTACTTCAGCAGGAGAATGGAAATGGCAATTTTGGGGCTTTGTGTCCCTAGCCTTCCCCCCATTGTTTCAGCATGAGCAGCTACACTCCAGTACACCCCAGCAGCTTCAGCAGAGGTTATTTGTGTTGGCTTAGTGCAGATCAGGACTCCCAGTCCACCACTACAGCAGTTTGCAATGGCAACAGGACCTGGACACTGAGGTATTTTGCTGGAGGCAAGCCTGTCACAAGCACACACCCTCTTAAACTTCACATCAAACAGAAAGGAAACGAGCAGGAAAAGACTACCTTTGGACCAGTCTCACTCATGTCTAGAAATGGGCCAATTCTGGGCAGATGATTCTCCCCAGCCTTGCTGGCCTGCTTCTTCATGTTGAGAAACTTCTCCCTTTGGAACTTAGAGGGAAGCAGCTGAAAGACAAAAAACCCCTCAGCAAGCCAGCAAGAGCCTCAGAGATGTGCTTGTTCAGAAAGGCTATTTCTGAACAAGTGGTACTGGTGAATAATTTGCGATCACAGCCACTAGGACAGTTCTGGAAGCCCTGGAAGTTACCTGCTGAAATACTTAGCACCAATAAATTAATAATACAGAGGGCAATACACATACTCCAACCACACGGCTGTGTCCCATTAGTCTCTGCATGATTTGATGTGACATGTTTGGGGACTTCTGCTCTTTGGGGATTTGTTTTCTCACTGGAGTGAGGCAGTGACCTTTTCAGAGAGTGGGGATGAGCTCTCAGAACTCCCCTAACTCTGTCCCTGCACAACACTCAAAGCTCACAGCGAGGAGGTAGCACTGCTGGGTGAGTCCAAGAGACACAAGAAAGCAAAGTTGTACCAAGAGTGAGGTGCACATGAATGTGTCCAAGTTTTTAGCATTATTAGCATTTGTTTTCTCTCTCTGGGCTCAGAGGCCTCTCCACAGAAGAAAACAGAGGGATCTCCTTGACAGAGCCTCAGCAGTGGGGCATCTTCACTCCAGTGAGCTCAGACACCAAGGAACCTCTGTGGCCTGACTCCAGTGCTGCCTGCAGGGCTGGATCTGCACCCACACAGGAGATGAGAGAGAACAGCTGGCTTGGAAGCTCTCCCAGCTGGGACCAGCCGTGTCTCTCAAGGCTTTGGGCAGAGTTTGAGCTTCTCCCCCACATTCCCAGGTGCCCAAGGGCAGGTTGGTCAGAGCAGCACAGATGAGTGTCCAGCCTGACAGAAGGAATTGCTGTGGCAAAGGGAAAGGGAAAGAAGCAATTGTTCAGGGTTTCAGCTGCACATTGGTTTCACTTGGCTCCAGTGGCACAGCCAGGCAGGATGCTGGACTGTCCCTGAAACATCACACAGCCTTCCCTACTGCACCAGGACAGCCCCCACCAAGAGCCAGGAGCAGGGCACAAAGAGGTGGGGAGGGGGTCTGCAGCTTCACAGCGCTGCTGACAACAGGGGCAGGGAGAGGAGGGACACGAGGGGCGTTTCCAGCCTTAACACAGCCCCAGTGGCTACTCACAGTGTCAGGCTTCAGTCTTTCCCTGCGCAGAAGATGAGGTGCCAGTGTCTTTTCTGGGAATCCAGAAGCCATTTTGGAAGGAGGATATCCCAGGTGAGCAACAATGCCTCAACAAAACTGGAAGGAGCAACAAAGGAACTCTGAAAATCCAGAACCAAATTCATGGCAGACTGAAGGGATACACTGGTGCTAAAATTTTATTTGATTTGAAAGTAGCTAAGTGCTCGTTTGGCATAAGTAGCTAGTATTGTTAGGCCTCTAGCTGGACTTTATTTGAACTATATGGCTATGCTGTACAATTCAAAGATGGCTCATACTGAAACCTGGAGCTAAAAAGCTGAACATTAATAATAGTTAGAACAGAAAAATCTGTAGCTTAAATATCACTTAAAAATAGCTTCAGTGGATCTCTGCTTCCTTATGCTAAACAAGCCCTGCTCTCTCAGCTGCTTCTCACAGGACTTGTGAGAGACTGGAATGTTATGGCTAATGGCTTAAATATTGTGATAAAGGACTTTTTGCCCAGTGTGACAAAACTGAATAAAGAAGCTGAGACCACCCAAGCCCACCCTGCCCTGAAAATGCCTCCTGACTGGAACTTGGGACTGTGAGTTAAGCTGCCTAAGGGAACTTGAGACAAGATAAAGGTGACACAACTCTCCTATTAGCTCAGGTCTGGGGAGAAGTGAACAAGGCAGAGGGAGAAAACTTTATCCACAACAAAGCCAAACCCAGCAGCTGTCCTGAAAATCAGCTCTGTCTGCCTTCAGGTTGGGGAAGTCATAGCCACAGACTCAACTGCTGAGGCCAGGTTTGCACACAGACCTCCCATCAACAGAGGGGAAGGAGGAAATTTTGGGTGTGCGGCATCACCTCTGGTAAGGGGCAGTGGACACCCATCCTCCCTCACACAAACTGGCTCAGCTCTAAAACCCCCCAGCCCCAGAAGGCCACATCCAGGGCACATTCCCACGAGGGGCAGCTCAGGGGGTGTCATAACCCATCAAAGACCTCCAAAGTGCCCCCAGACCCGTCCCTGAGGCCTTGCACCAGATGACTGCATGGCACGCCATGTAACACAACAGACCTGAAAATGCACAACCCAATTCGTGGCAGACCCAAAGGATATACTGGTGCTCAGGATTTGATATTACTGAAAAGTAGCAAGAGACAGGGTCCAACTTGCCCGACCCAGGGAGGTACCTGGGCAGTCCCACCTTGCCCAAATCTGCATTAATCCCCTGGAGTCTTATGTTTTGTGAGACCTCACCACAGAGAAGATCAGAAGAGGATTTAATGGGATGGGATGGGATGGGATAAGATCCATGGAATGGTGATAATTTTCTACTAAATCTGTCTCTGTCACTGTCTTTCTTCCCCCCTTCCCAGCCCCGTCCCTCCCCCCCTCCTTTTTCTATTTCTTTCTCTCTCCCTCTTCCTCACATTTATTGTTACATAACATCCAGAATATTGACTTTGATGACGTATGGTCTGGTTTTGCACCTTAATTAGGGGCATTTCCTTAATAACTTTAATAACCAGATCATAACAACCCACTGAAACTTGAACAGAACTCATTCACCTTTAACCAGTTTAAGTAAATATTATAGAAAAAAATTATATAGATTAGTACATTGAGGAAGTTGCATTGCATATAGTTGCATTTCTTCAATAAGAAAAAAGCACCATCAGTAGACCATATCTTGTTCATCCCCTCAGCTGTACATGCCACTGAACTGAAGACTGGCATTCTCCCATCCTGTATTTCCCTGTGGCATTCTCTTTTAGAGCACAGATGTGACAAAACCAGAAAGTACAGCTTGAGTCAGTCTTTACCTTCAACCGGAATTCAGGAATCCGCCGCAGAGACCAATGCTTAGCGAGTTCAGGACTCGCTGGCACGGAGCAATTCTCGGCGAACAATTCGCTCGGAGAATCGCCGAGTGCAGCCGCCTGAAGGCGCCGGGGCTGTGAACGAGCAGCCAGGGGCGAGTTCTGGGCAGCTGAGGCCGCAGCGCCGTCACAGACGCTGCGGGCCCGTCCCGGTTACCCGGCAACCGCGGAACCCACTGCGGGGCCGGGCCGGGCCGCGTTGATTTTCAAAGGAGATTGTCACTTTTACTACTGACTTTACTTTGGTGCTTTCTGAAGAGTCTTTCCATAAGTATTTATGCAAGTTTAAAATGTGGAGATAAAGGCACCTATGTCAGGTCTCTACATTGCTCTTTGTGCAGCACGAGTATTCCCTCCTGGCTGGAGGCCCAGGAGGGGCTGAGGGCGCTGGGAAGGGGCTCAGCCTGGAGCAAAGGAGGCTTAGGGGCCCTTCTGGCTCTGCACAGCTCCTGCCAGGAGGGGACAGCCGGGGGGTCGGGCTGTGCTCCAGGGAACAGGGACAGGAGGAGAGGGAACAGCCTCAGGCTGGGCCAGGGCAGGCTCAGGTGAACACCAGCAGGAATTCCTGCATGGAAAGGGTGCTCAGGCCTTGGCAGGGGCTGCCCAGGGAGCTCTGGAGTGCCCATCCCTGGGGGTGTCCCAGGAAGGGCTGGAGGTGGCACTCAGAGCTCTGGGCTGGGGACAAGGTGGGCATCGGGCACAGCTGGGACTCCATGGCCTTGCAGGGCTTTTCCAACATTAAGAGTTGTCTGACATGAGGTACGTTTTAACATATGGAACAGACAATGCAAAATTTTATGTACTAGATAGTAAATGGGTAGAATAGTCACCTTATTAGCACCGTTCCATAGGAGCATTGATTGCTTTTTCTCCCCATATAGGTCTGAAACAATTACAAAGCAGCTTGGAAATCTACTTGAATATTTTTAAAGTACAGGAAATGAAAGAAACAAGCTGGAGTATAAAGAAAACAATTATACAGGTTTGGTGGAGCGAAAATCCTGCAGTGCCCTAAAGAAAAGCTCCCTGTCAGGGGCTCAGGCTTTTCCATGATGGAGAGGGTTGTGCTGTGCTATCCTGGGATGTGGTTGGGAATGGTGTTCCAAGGAAACAAGTGCACACTTACTTACCAGAGTAACATTGGTGGCACTAAAGCTCTGGGGACAGTAGTGATCTCAGCAAAGGTTTTTGTAGGAACACTGTGTGCCTTCACCTTCCTGCAGGTAACTCAGGGGGAATTTAAGAAATAGATTGTGCAAAACAGCAACAGCAGAGATTATTAAAATAATGCTGGTAAGATGAAATTTAGTTACATGTCAGAAAACCCAGAACAAGGACAACTGCCATGCAGAGGAACTTTTAGCCGTTTCCTGTGCAAATTATGCACTCAGCCTGCATTGCCAGGTTTCTGCAAGTCAGTAAAAGTCCCTTCTTGTGTGTCACAGACCTGACTCTTTTACTGGATTTGTTTTGTAAGATAAAATTTTATGTTGCTCACCTCATCATAAAAAGGAGGGCTGAAGCACAGAGGTATACAACAAATCCTGGTGAGTAGAATCACAGGTCTTACCACTCCAGATAGCCTTGTCATATGAGGAAAAAAGAAAAAAATGGTTCTAAAGCATGTAAAGGGAAAATAAAAACAACTTGAAGTTGAAACCTGTGATTGGAGAGGTGGGTTGTGTTTCTGTATTGAGAATTAAAGGCAGCAAAGTGAGGGAGGAGGTGCTGCATTGTCCCCTGGGACTGAAGGAGACCCTGGGAGCTGTAAGGAGGCACCAGAGCTCTGACAGCAGGTGATAAACTGTAAAGTGGAATATTAACTTCCTGGTATTTGAATAGAATCAGACTGAGTGAATAATGAGCCAAGCCCTGTGAGTTCCAATCAAACATCCAGCTAAATTTGATCTCTCCACCTAAAAGAGGAGTAGGGGAGGAGGGAAAAAGAAAACTCTACAGAAACCACCAAACATCAGACAAGCAAACCAGCCACCTTCCTGTAGGCAAAGGAAAACAACCATTTTCATAGGATTCTACACCTGTACCATCCTGCCTTGGAGAAGAACCATAAAAGTAGCTGGATCTTTTTTTTTTTTTTTTTTTTCTTTATGCAGTAGCTAACCATGCTCTTATTCACTTGAAAAATGAACCAACAACTTTCTGTAGCTGTTAGCTGTGCATTCCTTGAAGACATCCTCAGTTTGCCCTTTTTCAGCTGGGTAATTTGCACTGGGTTAAACTCTACTGTGGATTCCCCTGGTCTGTGGTTTGTCACAGCAGACCACTGTGCTTCCTTTGGAGCCATTTCACCATTCTAATTAAATTTGTGGTTAGGCTTATTTAACTGTTATTTGCTTCATAGAATCAAACATTTAAGAGTTTGGTGTCTGATCATGAGTGCACTAAAAGTAACTGCTTGACTTAAACAAAAAAAGGAAGTTTGTTCTGTGGTTTGAAGTGAAAACATTATTCCCAATTTCACCAGTCACTACTCATTTTAATAGAGTGGTATAACTGCTACAATAAATGCTTAACTCTAAATTGTGAATTTTTAGAAAGGAGAGCTGTTCAGTGGGAGTTTTTTGTGTTTCAGGGTAAAGGTTGAAAAGTTATTTAAAAATGTAGACTGAAGTAAAAGTTATAATTTTTTGATTGAAGTTGATTTTTGGTTTGAATGGAAACATCTCAACCGTTCTCTTAAAAACTCTCAGAAAACTGTCTCACTCATGTTTTGAGGTGGTTTTCTCAGCCCTTGGTGTTTCATGTCAGAAAAATAAGCAGTTTTTTTGTTATACTAACACTATTTTAATACCTATCTAAAATTTTCAGAAATATTTCAAAAATCCTGTTGTCTTAAAACACTTATAACCTGGTTATTTGAGAGACATTTCCCAGACCTGGCTCGAGGCTCAGCTGTTTGCATTCAGGTGATTGTTGGCACTGTGAGTAACTTGAAGTTTGAATGTTTTGGGTTTTTTTTAATGGAAACAAACAAATCCATATTCTTAAGGAGTAGAGAAACCATTCTAATGTTCATTTGGTTTAAGGGATGGAAGGAAACAGGCTTTGAAGTTACTAAAAAGAGCTGTTTATGCATAAAGTTATGATCCTGGGAGCTCACTGAAGCCCATATACCATTTTTCCATCTCTAATGTGGGATTTATCTGTTTCTTGCAATTGAGTTTTAAGTGATAATATTGTATTTGTGATAATATTGTGCAGAGAACTGGAATTTGGATTAATGGTGAGGACAGTCCTTAGAAGAACTTCAGACTGAAGCAAAGCTGTGGGAAGCTGGAAGAATGGCTCCAAGGATGGCAAAGCACTCAAGGAGACCAGATAAAATGGTTGCTGCATTCCAGACATGTTGCTTAGTTTGGCATCTGACATTTCCTCTGAGACAAATAAGTTCTATAATAGCCACTTCAAGAAATGGACCACAGCATGCAGGAAAAAGAGATTGCAAGAAGGTTAAGCTCAGTATAAAACACATTTTAAATGATGCAGATTTTAGTTCACCATTCCTCTTGCAATCAAAAAATTCTTAAGATGTGAACTTGCTTAATTAGACATATCTACATGAATTAATATTTTGTCTACTGTTGACAGAAGTGATCACATGAACCTCAACAAAATACCCAGAACTAATGAAAAAACTCTTATTGTTCAGTTCTTACAGGGCAAGATGGATTTTTACATTTATTCAGTGACTCTGACTGTGTTAATTTTTTGTTGGTCCATATTTATTGTTGACCAAAGTGGACTCGTGGCTGTTCTCTCATGACAAGATGTAAGGTTATTACTTAACCAGGTTTATTTTTTTTTCCCTAAGCAAGTGGATGGACCCCTGCAAGTTGTGTGCTATTGGAAATTATCTAAGGTTTGAAACCTGAACTTTACTTGCTGTCCTTGTGAACTGCAGGCTACAGAAATGAGATGGAATGATCCATTATTTCTTAGTTTGGTCATTTAGGTTTTGGTTGTTTTGGGGTTTTTAAAGCTTTTTCAGGTACTGTTTGAAAGGAATCCAGTTTGTGTGATTGGTGTCTCAAGCCTGTCTCTTGACAATAAATATGATTAGGTCTTATCTGTGCCTCTTTATTTGTTTTGTTTCTGTCATTTACAGTTGTTTTTAGCAGTCTGTACATTGCTCAAACAGCACCAGGTGTCAGCTCAAGCATTTCTACTTGGGCATATCTGTGTCATCTGATCTCCCAGGGCAGGGACATTAACAGGGTTTACAACATTTCTGTGAAGTAGATGTTTTGGAAAAGTGGGCTTGCAATCTCTGAAGCTACTTTAAGTAAGTTATTTGACTTTGTTGTGTCCTCACAACGTGCTGCAGTTGAATTACCTGGAGTTACACACAGCTGGTGCTGCTGGGCAACCTTATCACAGTTTCTGGATGGTTCTTTCCCTCTGTGCAGCAGTTAAAATGAGCACTGTGTAGTGAAGCATCCCTCTACTGATTTGTTTTTATTAACATGGCCTAGAACAGTGATAGTCAGTATCATTAAATATTTTTATCCTTCTTGGATAAAAGTAAGAGTGGATATTAATTGAACAAATAAAAAGGCTTTATGAAACATTGTTGTATAGATATCTTATGGATCTGCTTGTTGAGCAGGCATTGAATCAGTTCACCTGTGATATGCTGCATAACCCTTGCAGCAATTGCTATGCTGGTGTGGAAAAAAAATGTATATGCAAGTTATTTCTCAAGACAAACCTCTCATTTACCATCTCAAGACAAATGTATTTCTTTGTGAAGCTTTAATAATGTTACTAGCTTTTTTATTGTCATTTTTAACTCACTGAAGAAAGCTTCTTCATGCAACAGACTTCAGTGAAGCTGTTTGCATAAGAATTATAGGAGCAAAAAAGTAGGATTAGAAACTTTCTTACTAGAATAAATACTCTAAGTTTGGGTTGGTTTTTTTTTGTTTGTTTGTTTTTTGTTTTGTTTGTTTGTTTTGTTTTTTTGTTCCTCTCTAAGCAATTATTTTATTGTAGTTCCTTGAAGCCTTTTTCTGGAAAGAGTAATTCCATCATGATAATTCCCATATGTTTTGTAAAAAGAAACAGCTGTCTGTACTCAATTTGTTTCAACAATGTGCATTTAGATATTCATTGTATTAGAGTGGACACAGGTATGACCTGTGTCTTCATGCCTTGTAAATAAATGCTTTTCCTATTTTCTGGTCAATTCCATGCTCTAAGCCTATCTGAGAAACCATCCTGTTGAAATCTTAACTGACATGTTTTCTTTCCTGCCTTTTTATAACAT